ATAAGACATCTTCCAACTACTGCGTATAAGTCAGATGCACATAAATCACAAAAAGTGCAATTGGAATTTTTCACATGTTTGGAATTGACACTACGACAAAATGAAGATCTAAGAGCAGTTCTGTTTTGAATTAGAGAGCGTTTAGAATTGCTCTAAAATATTGCAATGTATTATATTTAAAAGAGCTGTTAAACAAGCGTTATGTAATGTTAAGATTAGACAGCGGTTCCAGGCTGAACCGCTTTCCAAAGTATAAATGTAAACTGCAAATCTAAAATTTGAAATTGATTTCTTTTTTAGTTTTTTGTTGTAAAATAAAAATTTATTATTATGTTTAAATCAAAAGTTGTAATTAATTTTTTTGTGAGTTTTCTTCATTTTTATCACAAATCAAAATTGAATCTTGAGTTTATATACTAGTGTTAACCAAACAGTCTACATCTGTATGAACTAAACACAAGTAAACAAGAAAAAAGACAGAATAATGTGTACTTTTGAGAGCGGTTAATAAAAAATTATTTTTTAAATATATAATTACAAAATAATTTTTATTAATCGTTAATTAAGTTAGCGCTTCAAAAACTCATTTATGGCATAGTGTGAATGACAAAAAGTTAGCCTTTATCGAACACTTCCTGTACACTCATAAATATGACAACTTAAATTAATTAATAAAGAGTATTGCTACACTTACAAATTCACATTCCTTTAATTTTTGCATAGCTATCTTTCTCACATTTTCATTTGAGATTCTAGAATGAACACCATACTTCGTATGACTGTATTTTGATGTTTGAACACACACCCAATTTGACAAATGTCATGGAATCGAAGCTGACAGCTCCATGCATAACTCCCCAGTAATGCCAATTCTTAATTAATAGCTATTGATTTGAACAATCAATAATTCTGAAGAAACTTAAATCGCTGCTTTAAACTTTTTGCTGAGCAAATAGAACGGCCTTCCTTGAGCATCGTTGATTCTAAGTTCAAAAAATTTAAGGCTAATTCTCTTAAATATATTAAAATATTAATATTATTTTTCAAAAATAATTTTCAATATTTTTTGTTAAAAAATTATTAATTAAAGCATTTATAAATCTTTGTATAAATTTAATATAATAATTATCTTTATTAAAAAATATTATTTTTAATCATCTAGAATCAGCCCTTTCAAGCTAACGATAATATTTTTCTTAATTTATGTATTTTTTTATTTAAGAAAACTCTTTTTAAAAATGTAAATAAACAGGCTCTAAGTAATCTTTGCCTTGGTTTTTCGTTTTTGTTTAATTAATTGACAATAGAATATATACTTTATGCTATGTATGCCAATATAGATTTGTGTATGTGCACAACAAAACATCCCTTTCGGATAACGCATTCACTTGATTTTCTAAAGTTCAAGTAGTTTAATTCCCTGATAAATTATGTTTTCACCAGGTAGCTATCGATCTCCTTCTTTATTCCTTCATTATTAATTATTATTTTGATAAGGATGGGCATGTAAATTTGGCATATGCACTCAGTATCCATGATCTTTATTGATATATCTAGCTGCCACTGAGCAAAGGCTGGTAACATTAACCATGTGTTAGAAATATGGTCAAGTTAGTCTTAACCCACCAGGCCTCAGTCTCCACAATTGTTCAACACTGCTATAATTATATAAATATTCACCTACAATATGCTTATCATCTTCTTGAATGCATAGTTCGCAAATAAATTTTGATAAACTTCCATAAGTTGTCTTAAGATAGGACATGGGTGCCTAATGCATTATTTTGCTAAGTCTACTTTATTTTTCAGATTTTTATATGTTGTTGTTAATTTATTATTACCCTCCTTAAATTCATTTAAAGAATTGAAGTAAATCTTGTAGACTAAAGATTGTTTTTTAAAAATGTATAATTACTTATAGAATATTAATTACTCACAATATATAATTGTTGTTACAACTAAATATGCTTTTTCAATTCAAATCATTTAAAATTTATTTAAGATTAATGGATCTAATTCCTCCAAAGTATAAGGTGTGTAGAGTAAGAAGTTTGTTATATTTATAAACTAGTTTATCAAACATTATCAAATGAATTAGTTAACTTTTCAACTTTTGACTAATTTATGGTTGAATATCCTTATATTCTCGATTGCCTGTATCCATTTTTTGCAACAAAATAAGCAAAGTACATTTATTATTACACAAAGGAATCCCCAATATCCTTTTTTTCAATGAATGGTTATTAGTTTGCGGGAGCAAAGAGCCAATTAGATTTAATGGAAGAGAATTTATGTGAGTCAGTTGCATATTTCCTTATTTGTCTCTCTTGAAAGTTAGATAGGTACTTCTCAGGCACTCTTATATATAGAACCAAACCCTACACCATCAAGTTGCAGCAGTTAACCTAATAAGAGAACCCAAAAGAAAAGCTCTCCTTGTTCCTTTAGGTTGAGAACAAAGAATTGAATTCGAGTCTGCTAAGCATGTAGGTTTGTTTGTGGAGGTGACAGAAGAGAGTGAGCACTTGGCTCTTTCCTAGCATGGACCTTTCATGTTAGAAGCTGTGTGCTTGCTCTCTATCTGTCACCACCTTTAATTTCTTTTCCTCTATTCTCTTACTTATCTTTTGCTTCTAACATATACTTTAAAGGTTTGCATATATTGATATTTTAATTAAATCATTTTTGTTATGAACTGCTACTCAAGCTACATGGCAATATGTATCCCAGTGCAAGTCATCACGTGAATCAAATTATATGTTAGCTGCAGTCAAAGGCATAAATTTAGAAAGAAACAAAGTATTGATCAAATTTAGGAATATCTGCACTATGATAATGTGTGATATTTAAAATATATATGTATATATATGTTAAGTTTAAAGATCTACTTAATTATATATCTTTATATTGAGTAAATTCTCCCCAGTGGTACTGTCTCTACATTACTTACAAGGGTTGCTATGGAGACTTGCATGTAAGCGTAGGTTGACACTGGTGATTCAGTTCAATAAAAATCCCAAACATGGATACCCAAGTATTGCATGTACGTTACTTTCATCTAAATTTCTTCCTGTACAACTCTGTTTACCAAATATTGCTGGTTGAATGAAATTTCAAAGTTTAATTTGGTAACCATATCTCATGCATTAGATAAGTATTTATGATATATCTAAAACATCAAAATATTCATTTAAAATATTTTTAAGAAAATTTGTTTTGTTGATGATTAAAATATATAAAGGCCTTTTTATATTTTATTTTTTTATCACTCTAGTTTACACTGTGTGTAATTGGTCTTTTAATTATTATTTTTTAGTTAATTAAGCTCATTTACTTTTAAAGTTTAACAGTTTCACTATTCAAACGTTTTTCTTCTATCTAGAACTTATAAATTTTAATTTTTGAGTTAAAATAAATTGAACAAATACTTTTATCTAAAATTAACTAACCAAAATGTTAAATTTCATCTAAAATAAGAAAAATCTCTAAATCTTCTCTCTTCAAACTCAAATCTCGTATCTTATAAAATTCTTCAGTTTTACTAAATTTTTTACTTCTAAACTTCAAAATTATTTCATATTTTAATTTAATTATTAACTCTCCAAAAATTTAGATAAAATTTTTGAGAATTTTTAGTACAACAAAATTAATAAGAAGACTAATTTTGTATAATTTTATAAATTTTTTAATACATTATTAGCGTGATTTTTTTATGATATTAACTGATTAAAATATATAAGAAGTATGAATTTTAAATTAATTATTATAAAAGTTAATGATTTTTTAATATATCAATTTTTAATTAAAAATTATGATATCAGTAAATTAGTTCATTCTCTTTTATATTTTCTTAACATGTTTTAATGTCTATTAATTCACTTTTTTTCACTAAAATAGTTCTTTTATGCTACTATAGCTTACTATAAAAATAAATATAGTAATATTTTATATTTTAAAAGGATTAATTGTAATATAAAAATATTATAAAATTAGTCTTAAAACATCTTAAATTTTAACAGAACAAAATTAATAATTAAAATTGTTAATAATTACTATAATGACATTTTTTAGAGTATCAAATTAAATATCCATTATACGTTATACTCCTCTTTAATTAATGTTTTTCGTTTTTCTTTATTTTTTTCTCTAAAGACTGCGGTATATATATATCATTCAATATTTAAATTTAATTAACTACACAAAAAATTAAATGATATGAAATAATTCATATCTTGGTTAACTTGCTCAACTCTTTAAAAAGTAAAAAGAAAATAAATTTTTTTATTTTTTAACTTATGTTTATAGATAAGTTTATAGATTAAAAATAGTAAATTTTTATTAAAACTATTTTTTAATTAAAATTTTTTAATTCGTATTAATTCATATTTACTATTTTGAACTTTTTCTTCACTTTGCTAAAGAGGAAAAGAAATGAGTTTTTTTTTTCACTAACACTTAATTGTTGAAACTCTTAGATGTTGTCTGGATAAAAAAAAAAAAGAGAAAAATTAATAATTTTATGTATTTCAATGAAACAAAGATGAAAGAAATTTTTTTTTACAACCTACTAAATGTGAATAGTAATTTTATTTTTTTATTTTTATATTTTTTTACTTACTCAAACATATTACTAAAAATATAAATAATTTTTTTTTAATTTTTGATCTAATTTAATCTAAATTAGACTCACATCGTGCGATGAATTTGTTAAATGAGTCTGAACACAGAATAAAATTTAAGATTTTATTTAAGTGATAATGATAATACATCGTTTATTTTTTTTTTTTATTAATTCTATTATTTAAATATAATTATCTTTAATTTTCTAAATTTTTTTTTAATATCTATGCTCGATGCCTCTGAAAAACACTCCTCAAAATCAGAAATAATGTTATTAAAAAAAAACTGAAAGAATATTAAAAGATGAAGATGTCATAATTTTGAAATACAAATAATTAATTTTCTTATTTTATTAGTAACAGTCTGAACGAAAACAAAGGTAGTTGCGGTGTGTGAAAAACCAATTCAAGGGAAGTAAGCGTCGTTGACCGGAATACGATCCACACAGAATGTCAACACCGTCACCGAGATCGGTTGCCGTTGCCGTCAGTGGCGGCTCCGGCGCCGCCAAGGGTAGCCGGCGAGCCGTGCAGTGGGCGCTGGACAACCTCGTCCCTCAAGCCGATAGGTTCATCTTAGTTCACGTCATCCCCAGAATCACTTCAATTACAACCCCAAGTATGTCCCTTTTCATTTTGCAATCACGTATATGCTTGCTAATAGAAAGTACCTTTGTGTGCAAATGTGCAATTAACTAAAGGCATGTGTGGATAAACTGGTTAATTGAATATTTATTCAATAATCTCTTTTAACAGTTACTGATACAAATTTAATCTTGAAATTTATTAAAATAGCTTAAAATAAGCTTATTTAAATAAATTATGTCAAAGTATTTATTAAAATAAGGTAAGAGGAACTTATTACACTACTGTTTTCTTAAGGTTTCTGTAAGTTCTTTCAAATACCTTTTAAGATCATGCTTAAAAAAGTTTATGGAAAACTAATAAAAATCATTTTTATGATTCTTCTAAGTTTTTTTAACTTATTTCAATAATTTTTTTGGTATAATTTATCTCAATCTAAATTTATCACATAAACTACCGTTGAAAAAAGCTTATTGAAACGCATAATTAAAGTGTTCATGCAAACACACCCTAAATCATAAATGATTAGAGACTAACTGAAATGCATTGCTGGTGTTTTGGGATTTCTTATTCGCAGCTGGAGATTATATTCCCATTTCAGAAGTAGATGCCGATGTGTTTGCAGCTTATGTGGAGGATGTGAAACAAAAGTCTGAACAAATCTTTGTTCCATTCAAGGAACTCTGCGATTCCAACTTGGTGAGGTTATGTCTACCATGTACAGTACAAGTACATGCACTAGTATTTGATATGATTTGTAAATGCTTGAATTTTTAAGAAATTAAGACATGACCTCCGTAATGAATCTTGAATAAGATATTTATAATTATACGTGATTAGGCATTCAGTATACCTTACAGTCTCAGATCTCTAATCCTTTAAGCAAGTTTGCAAGAGTGAGAATATGTTAAGGTAAGGTAATTAATGAAAAACGGGACTTAAATTTGTGTCTCAGATTCTTGAGTAGCACTATTCTTATGGAAATGGGTATTAAAAAACAGATACGCTAAAACTACTAAATGCAGCAGTGTAGTACTAGCATTGGTACTGAATTGGGGATTGAGTACGCATGCTGCCAATCTTGGAGTATATGTGCTTTGTAACTTTGTTTTTTGGCCTTTGCTAGTTTCAACTTGAGATTGAAAAGGTGGTAAGGGAAGATTAATGTGGAAATTTTGTAGATGGAAACCATACTGCTAGAAGATGACAATGCTGCAAATGCACTTCTTAGCTTTATTTTGGAGTCGGGGGTCCAAATATTAGTGCTTGGTTCTGACTCCTCAAATTTTATAACAAGGTATGTGTTTCTAAATATTCAATTTCAAAGCGTCAAAGCAAACGTGACTTTTCCATTTTATTGATTTCAGTCCATGCATAATAATCATACAGTATTGCATTGTATCTATCATTAATAGTTTCATAATTATGCTACTACATAATGTAATTTACCATGGTGGAAATTATAAATATTTATGAGCTTTTATATAATAGATCAATTTGATTTTAACTTCCTGAGAGAATCTGTTATCTACTTAGGTTGTTGCAATTAAGAGTTTAGCACCTGCATGCTTAATCTGTCACTACAGTCAAAAACTTTTATTGGAAATGTATTTAAACTCTTTAAAATGCTTTCAACCAAACAGTAAGTATACCCCTCAATTGTAATAAAAAGGAACATTTCTCCCAATATCATTTTTATAGAGACTATAATTACAACCATCTATTATCAATATTCTTTAAATATTAAGTAAAGCAATTGATGAGAATATTTGGATTGAAAAATAATTAAAAGAAGTTAAATAAAAAAAAAACAAAGAAATCACAAAGTTAATTTATATAGATAAAAGCTAAAGGCTCTTAGTTTTTTCTTGTGATTACTTATATGTTCTCCAATTCAATTTTATGAAATTGTGTTAAAATAATTATCAATTATTTAATTAATTATTATTACTACTCAATGAACATGTAGTAATGGTAGTTTTCTTATTTATATATTACCCTGATAAAAGAAAGAAAAAACTAGATAAATAAGAGTATTAATAAATATTAGATTTATTAAATTTAATTAACTATTTGAAAATTTAGGTGATAGATTGATACTCTTAACTCTTACACCTAAATTATCTCTTAGTTTTAACCTATTAATGGTACAATTGCCGATTAATTGATTAATCATGATTTATCCTTGAGCAGTTAATTCAAGAATAATAATAATATCAAAATAAAATTGTAAGATATGTTTTATTCATAAAAAAAAATATAATTTATCCATAGAAAAATATATAATTTTCTATTGTCAAATTCAAAATTCATATTTAAATTCAACATTCAGGTTAAGAATTTACTCATTTTTTATCAAAATTGTATTTTTATTACTTTTTACGGTAAAATCAAGAAAAACTGGACCAATCTTGATTGTGAAAGAAAATTAATTTTCAGCTTTTTGCGAACTTTGTAAAGGAATTCAAGAACAATGCCCGTCTTGCTAGCTCCTAAATTTGAGTTTTTCTTCTTCCAGGAAGCTAAAAGGACCAGGGATACCAACTCCCATTCTAAGATATGCTCCTGAGAGCTGTGATGTATATGTTGTAGCAAGAGATAGAATTATATCGAAGTTAGCTGGATTTTCATCTTCACATTCTCATGGTACAATTGAACTTCTTGCATTTCAAGATCTTAATGTCTGCGCCCTAACAGTTTGATCATCTTATATTTATATTTTGATGATGCTTTCATTAGAATCAGGATCTTGAACAAAATCTCTATGGAAGTTGTCTAGTTTCTGATTTCTTATTTTTCCTCCGACAGAGGCAAGTTCAAGGTACTTCATGTCTACGAAAGTAAATAAAGTAGACAATGGTGCTGGCATTAGTAGAGAAATGTCTGGAATTAATTCATCCTCAGCAGAACCTAAACTACTAAAAAATTTCAGATTTTTATCAATATCAGAGCGGAGTTATGTTGGTCTGAAGACATCTAGTCGTAGGAATTCTTTTGAAAATTCTACCAAAAATGAAGAAGAAAATACAGAAAACTGTGGAGATGATATTGACACTTTCAACCTCCACTCGTTTGATTCCATTACATCGGCACAACGTGAACAGGTAACTTCCTTTCTTTTCTTTTGGTCAAAAAGAACAATAGGGGTATCACTGATGAATAACTTGTAAAAGAGTTATATTATGTGATTCTCCAACATGGCTGTGGCGTTTATATTAGGTGTCCTTATGCAGTTTATCATGCAAGAAGAAGTGGAACGGCTGCAGATGGAGTTGCAGAATACTATTGCCATGTACAAACAGGTTTGTGAAGACCTGGTTCAAGCTCAAAACAAGGTGAGAGCTTGATAATATATGGTTTCTCTTTTGTTTGAAGAAAGAAATACATGTCTGGGTCTCTAATTCAGCTAAGTTAGTTCTTTTTATTTTTCCCCGCCCATTCTATGCCTAAGCCGATGCCTATGAAAGGTATTAATCACTTGAGAGTCACAATAACTTGTTAAAACAAAATGTAAATTGTCTGTCCTCAGAGCATACAGTGCTGCTGCTTAATTATTTTATAACATAAATTTTGGATAACTTAAAGTCATCTGTTCAACAAACAAACAAAAACAAAATAAAAAATGATTGGTTTCTATCATATTCAAACATAAAGCTTATGCTCTCTTTAATTTCATCAAATTTTTTATTCAAAATTTAGTACTCTGAAAGCCACAGCCATGTCTGCTTCATTGTGACGCAGTTGCTAAAATTGTTCTTAAATCTATAGTTTAGAGCTTGGCACTCCACATTAATCATGCCCCAATCAGAGATAATTACTACTTTACAACATGACTTAACTTTTCTACCTTCACCTGCAGGCCCTTTTACTTACTTCTGAATCTCTTGAAGAAGCTAAAAGAGTAAATGCTTCCCTGAAAAGAGAGGAGATATTGAGAAAGATTGCTGCTGAAGAGAAAACAAAATATTTGAAAGTCATGAAAGAACTAGAGGAGGCAAAAAGTATGCTTGCCAAAGAGTCATACGAAAGACAGATGGCTGAACTTGATATTCTTAAAGAATCAATAGAAAAACAGAGAATTGTTGATACGTTGCTCTCAAATGACAGGAGATACAGAAAGTACACCATGGATGAAATCAAGATAGCAACAAAGTTCTTTGCTGAGGACTTAGTAATTGGTGAAGGAGGATATGGGAAAGTTTACAAGTGCAATCTTGATCACACACCAGTAGCTGTAAAGGTTCTGCACCAGGATGCAATCAACAAGAGAGAGGAGTTTCTGAAAGAGGTTTTCCTTGTGCTTTGTTTCTTCTTCCCTTTGAATTTGTCTATATGAGAGTGAGATGCTGAGACTTACTGAAATCTTTAAATCGTTGAGTCCTTGTGGGATTTTTCTTACTATGTTTTAAATGTTCTAAAGCATGAATTGATTTATAAAACTTGCAAATGCAAGCTCAAGTATACAAGTCACTGGGAAATTTTCAAAGTTGACTATCCCACTACCTCTACTTGACTACTCTAGGAAAAGTTGACAGATAATAAGGTAGTAATCAACTAATTCTTGACAGATCTAGCTTCCTCTGGATTCACTGTGTGAGCTGAAATAATACTCATACAAAATCTTGCTGATCTAAAAGTTGATTAAATTTTCAAACTCGTACTCCTTTGCACATCCTAGTTTTCATTGCTTTCTAATGATAGGTTCTTTTTAAATATCTTGAATGAATTCAATATTTGAATGCTGCAACAACAAAAGAAAGCATTCCTTTCAGAGTTGCTGTTGTCTCCCATTTGTTGCAGGTTGAGATTCTTAGTCAACTACATCATCCTAATATGGTTTTATTACTTGGAGCCTGTCCTGAGAATGGTTGCCTTGTTTATGAATACCTGGAAAATGGAAGCCTAGAAGACTATCTTCTCAACAAAAATGGAAAACCACCACTTCCTTGGTTTTCTCGATTTCGTGTAGTTTTTGAAATGGCTTGTGGGCTCTCATTCCTACATAATTCAAAGCCAGAACCTATTGTTCATCGAGATATAAAACCTGGCAATATCCTTTTAGACAGAAATTATGTAAGCAAAATTTCAGATGTTGGGCTAGCTAAACTTCTTTCAGACGTGGTGCCTGACAATGTAACAGAGTACAGAGAATCAATGCTTGCTGGTACTTTGCACTACATGGACCCTGAGTATCAGAGAACAGGCACTGTCCGACCAAAATCAGATGTATATGCTTTTGGAGTCATAACTCTCCAATTGATAACTGGTGGCCATGCACGTGGACTCATTCTGACTGTTGAAGATGCAATTAGAAATGGCTCCTTCCGTGATATATTAGATAAATCAGCTGGGAATTGGCCACTGGATGAGACAGTGGAATTGGCTAAAGTTGCCCTTCAATGTGCTGCACTTAGATGCAGAGATAGACCAGAACTTGATACTGAAGTTCTTCCACTGCTCAAAAGACTTTCTGATGTGGCAAATGTTAGTGCAAGGAGGGGAAGAAATAGTGCAAGAGCACCAAGCCAGTATTATTGTCCAATCCTTCAGGTACTAGATTGCACTTATCTGATGAACATTAGGTTGTTGAGTTTTGATATCTTTGTTGATGCATATCGTGTTCATATTTTTTTTACTTAAACATGTTTTTAGTCCCTATAAATATGATTAAATTTTATTTTCATTTTTTTAAATGGATTAAAAACATATTTTATCATTTTTCAAATTCTTGATTGACTTGTGAATAATGCAGGAAATCATGGATGATCCATATATTGCTGCGGATGGTTTCACTTATGAGTACAGAGCAATCAAGGCATGGCTCAGCAAACACTGTGTGTCCCCCATGACAAAGATTAAACTCCAGCATTCTACGTTGACTCCAAACCATACTTTACGTTCTGCCATTCAGGAGTGGAAGTCTGGAGTAACCCCTTTTAATTAGCAAGCAGTGAATTCCTTACCGCTCCTCTCAACCTAATTTTGCTTGCAGCATATAAAAAACTGTCAGAATTTCAATTGTACAGAAGGTTTGTAAAACAAATTTGGTAATTTATCTGCACGCGCAGCCATTTTTTTCCTAGGTTGTATATAACCTTTTCTTGAGCCGTTGTATAAAGCCCGAATTAAAATGAAGTTTCTTATTATTATAGATGAAATATTAAGTTATTCGTTTACATCAAGACATTATTCCATCATTGGAGTATTCAATCATAACATAACGGACTATTGTTTGCTTTATTTTGTGAGGTTAATTACTTTACCAATGGGAACATTTTGTAATTCACAATGACTTTTCAAACGTTTTATTGGAATGACATTAGTCTTGTGATGGTTTAACAGCATATTTAATACAACTTTAAAAGAAACAATCGTTTTTTAAAAGAACTTTCAGAAAGTAAAAAGAAAAATCAATTATTCTTCTAAAATAAGCAGAATCGCAATATTAGAACGCGCTGACTATTATTTAAACTTTCTCAAAAATAAATTATAATCCTCATTTATATGACGTGCTTTTTATGCTCTCCTTTCATGGATCCTCCAATACTTTGACTGAAAAAATCACTTTCTATAGTCTCGTGTCCTTCAAAGTTATTTCTAATTATTCACGTTACGTTTATCCTTAAAAGAGACCATAAGCCAACAGCATATTCCAAGTAGGAATTTGGAAAAATAAGATGAACTAATACTCTACTGCTGCGAGTGCCACTGCATAGCTGGCTACTTTCCTATGGCTTAATAGTTACAATCCCTCCAGCCTTTACATACATGTAGTCATCTGCATACATATTTCTACGTTTTGCCTTTTGGTGACATATATAGACTGCCAGAGGAGTGGCCAAGCAAGTAACATCCATAAGCATCAATCATCTATTTGTGTAAACTCTAAAGCATTTGCATCAGGATCACGTGTAAAGATTGCTGGTCTTCCAGAACGACTAAGTGTGTAGGGGATACCTACAAAGTAGAAAACAACAGAGGAAGCAATAAAAAAAATAGAGCACTTGCCATCTAAAAGTTGTAAATCGTGGTGTGAATTGGTGAAGAACTTCAAGGTATGCTATTCAAGAAGTAAATGAGTACCAGCTTTATCAAGGATAGCTTTCAGCTTAGCGACATCCCGGATTGCAATACACGTGTGGCGATCTCGACCACCGTGTTGAGGTCGTCCAGTTAAAGGGTCAGGATTTGGAAGCTCCATCAAATGAATCATCTCAGAGCCTACCCACAACCAAGCACCCCTGTATGGAAGCTTGTCATGTGGCCTTGCTTCATTTATCTTAAGGCCTGCACTTCATTTAACTTAGTCATTCATATACCTCTTGTTACACGGCAAATATTAGTCTGAAAAGCTGGCATACCTAGAACGTTTTGATAAAAGTCAAGTGATCTTTCTAGGCTTTCGCATAAAATTCCAACATGGTGAATGCTAACAACCCCATAATCTGAAACATCCCATCCAAAAGTTAGAATAAAAATAATGTACAAAAAGCAACACTAAGACGCATGAATAAAGCATAAAATGAACTAATACCAACTACATACCACTTTCATCGTTGATTGAGATGGATTCTTTGTCAAGTACATCGCCTTCAACAGCCATCTGAGCTTTGATTGTCACGCTAGGAACATGCCATCTCCCATTTCTTACACTAGCGTGATAAAATTTGGATTGCATGTTTGTGGTGGTTGGAGAAAAGCTAACATTATTCAACTGCAACAAAAAAAAGAGTTGATAAAACTCCGGAATTAAGATTAGTCGTCCAAAATGACAAAGCATATTACACGACACACTACCAAAGTGTTAATTAGCAAGACTCAATGCCAAGAAATTGCTGAAATTACCAGCAAAACTAACATTGCTGAAATTCAGTTTGAAAAACTTGAAGTTAAATGCTTTTGAAATCCACTCATTGATCCTTTTTCTTTTTTTTTTTTTGTCTCTCAATCTGATTGGGAAATACCAACAATAAAGTCTTGTTTACTTTATAACGCGCCAGCAACAACAAAAATTAAACAGAAACATATCAAGTCATCAGGGATAAGGGGAGTTAGATGCTCCCATCAAATATTCAGGAAAAATCACATTTTTCCCTCTTAGCTAGCTCTTCAATTGACAACATTGACTAATGATCATGTTTACCAGTTACCACCAAGAACAGAGGACAAGAGGTACAAAACATATCTAACCATCAACGGGAAAGAGAGAGTGAGGTGGTATCAGATACTAGTGATGACACTGATAATTTCTTGAGCATTTTAAACCCGGATTCAATTCCTCTACCGTGAGATACTAAAATTGAAAAAAAAATGTAAATAAGAAAATACACTCTTGATTCGAATTAAATAACCTCATGAACTTAACTGATTTTAAATCACGGTTTCATGCATCCTTAGGGCCTGTTTGGTTGCAAAAGACATTTTTACAAATCTGTGAAAACAGAAAACAAAACGAAAACACTGTAGCAATTTTATAATTAAAAACGAAAACAGAAAATAATTTATAAACCAAACTGCCCTTACTTTCTTAACTTAAAGACCACCTCACTTTTAAGAATCCAAATCCCTTAAACTCCTATAAATTACTAAACTAGGAAGTTAAGTTCAAACAACCCAACAACATGAGTAGCTTGTGCATTAGAAATCAAGGAATGAGAAGTTAAAAGCATACCCACCCAAGTCACCTATCCTAATTCCAAACTCCCCCCAAAGTAGAAACACAAATTTAAACCCCATTTGATGATTATCCATCTTGTTTACTTGTAACCATTGAGATTACGGAACATCATGAGTTCCAAATCACCTTTTGGTGTAGAGGAGAGATAAAGGAAGGAACTTTGAGAAGGGAAGCCATGGCAGAGGAACAATTGATCTGGGTTTCGTGTCTGGTTTGGTATATGATTTGTGAACCGCGTGTGATGAGTGGACACAACACCCCTACCTGCTTCTGCCGTTCACAAATTTCAGAGGAACACTAATCAGTGGCCACTAATATGGACATGGGGCACTGTCATAAGATAAAAACATAATAGTGATCGATTTATAAATATGATAGAGTGAGGGCAATATTCACAATTGATAAATTATTAAAGAACTACAAGTTATTTTTAATATATAAAAACAAAATTTATACATTTTTGTTTTCTTTTATAATTTTTTTTCAAGTTTATCCAATTTAATATTTCAATAGAACTATGTACAGTAACAATTTGATTTGGGGAATAAAATGTGAAGCTATAATTATTAAAGAAACTATGTATACTTGAGATAATAAGAAGAATATGCAGCGATAACTATGCTTTTTTTTTCTGTGGCTGTTGTGCCAAATAGGGTATTTCTACTGCCGAGTTATTAAAAAGTTATCTTTTTGTTTTTTCCTTAAAAATCAAACTTCCAAATATATCCTTATTAGAAGGAAATTTTACTCTTTAAAACACTTTATGTATGGATAAGACAAGAGTCTCTCATTTCGTAGATATACACGAACCTCTACGGTATACCAGAAAAGTAAAATGCACGTGGCTCGAAATATGTGTTTAAAAAATGCAAGTAAATTGAATTATGATCTTATTTTATCTTTTAGCAGTTTTGAAATATGGAATAATTCGTACCTATATTTTTTAATATAGTGATATCATATCATCACATGTTACGCATGATATTTATAGTTGCTGACTAAGTTTTTTAATCTTTCACTTAAGTACTTAGGTTTTGCTGCTGCTTAATATAAATAATTAGTGGCTATCAACAGTAACTTTTCTACAATTTTATTAATTATAGATTAGATTTTGTCACACGTCGCTGTTCGAAAGAAAACTGACAAAGTCTTAGGAATACCCTTTTTTTTTACATAATTGAGTCCTTTAACATTTTGATAAGAATCTGTTCTTTAATCATACACGTAAAAAGGGTATTAACCATACACATAATTGAGCTGTTTTTAAACACAAAAACCTTTTGGTATACAATTCTTATCAATTTATAGACATTATATTTTTATATTGACACTTGACAGTCAACACGGTCCAAGCCATTCTCTCGATAGAAAATTCAAAGTTTAGCAACTGCTTGGACCCATTGAGCTCTGAATGATATTAACATTTATTTATATTGTTAATAAATTTTTTATTAATTTCATAATTTATTTTTATTAAATAGTAGGTTGTTTGTTTATATTAACTTTATTAAAATTAAGCAATTATATGAATAAAATTTAAAATTTGTAATTTTAATATATATATATATATATAAGGTATATAAATGAGATGTTAAATAAATTTAAAATTTAAATATATGAACTATATGATAAAATTTATAAGCCAGCAGTTAATTTTTGGATAAATAAATAAAAATATTAAGAGGTGTAACAGTGAATTTTAAAATTGATGTCATGTGTATTTAAATACGTTTTTTATATATTTTTTGTTACAAGTAATTAAAATAATATATTATACTTTAATGGTTAGATGGATTAAAACTATATTTTATGTAAAGTGGTGTGGTTTATAATTTTAAAATTTTCTTAAAAAAATATGCTTGTTGTTGTTATTTATTTTTTGCAATATTCTATATGTATAATAAAATTTTAATATTAAATTATTGATAATTTAGAAAATAATATAACCTGTGTCAATATAATTCAATCCCTCTTCTCCACTGCAATTTGCATTAACTTTATGCATGAATGTATAAATTAATTATAGCAAATTTATAGACAAATCTGGCTTTATTTGGGAGTTTGAAGGAGAAGGAAGGAAAATGGTAAGAAGGGAGAAGGAGTACAAAAGAAAGGCGGAGGAAGGAGGTTAAACTTCTCAATTGTTTGGATATTTAATATTGAGAAAAGAAGGTGATAGAGAGTTTAATTATATAAAAAAATTTTAAATTAAAATTTTTATTTTTAAAAATTTTTTTAAAAAATTATCACTTGAAAAACTAACATTTAAAAAAAAATTAAAAAATCCTATTTGTAAAATAGTATGAAAGAGTGGAAGAAAGAAAACCTCCAAAATAGAGAAAGTTTTTGAGGTTTAGGAAAACCCAAAAACTTTCCCCTCTTGATTAAACAACTTCCAAACAAGATTAAACCTCTTCTAATCTCTTTTCTCTTAAACCGAACTCCCAAACAAAGCCTAAGTTGTTGTCCATTGATGATAAAATTGGTGACAAAACTCTTCTTCTCACGTCAACTCGATTTGAATATTACACATCATGTTAGGTTAACTTAGATCAATCTTTATAATCAACGTGTCTAGTGATATAAGTATTTTCACTTTAATATAATTTAATATTATTTAAATGTATTGCCTATAAAAAAAACATATTATGTTTATATATATCAATATTTTTTTTTGTATATTTTAATCACTAATAAATTTGTTTAAACTCAAATGTCCATTTCTTCTTCGTTTAAGCTCACTGATGTGACAATAATTATTTGTAGCAGTAGATATGACTAAGTGTAGTGATAGTCTTTATAATGCATTTATCTTAAAAATGACAACAAAAATATAATATTCAGAATTATTCGTAATCTCATTTAAATAGGAAAAAATAATTAAATAAAAATAAATTTTATAATTTGGTACACTAAAATTGTCAGAATACGTTTTTTTTTAAGTTAAATGTCAAAAAAAATGTATAAAAGATAATTAATGCAAATAAAATGACAAAAAAAATTTCATTTGTTTTTATAATGTATTATTATTTAACAGGATTTTAAGGTATTTTTTAAGTTTTTTTTTTCTTGTACAAATAAAGTTGTCAGGAACTATAATTTTAATATTTGTTTTTTGTTAAACATTAACATTATATCAATGATAAATTTAGAGTACAAAGGATACTCTAACCCGTTATACTATAAAAGAAATTAACAATACATATTAAAAAATAATTAATTCAATTCACATATACAATAAATCTTTCTAGATGTCTATTGTAAGTCACTTTCAAAAATAATATTTGATAGAATCAAATATTTCACTAATATTTAACATATTGTTATTGGATAAAATATTATTCCATTGAAGTTAAATTATCGATATTACTGCAAATCATACCATTACAACTCCACTCAATTTCTTTTTTTTTCATGTTGAATTCCATGCTTAGTAACATCTCGTGCAAATTTCTAGGTAATCATAACTGACACTGAACATTAAAACACCATGTACCACAGTTTCATGGAGATATCACAATAAAAAAAAATATGTATCGCATAACCTACAAGCTTTAGAGGGAATCGTCATTCCATACTTGGTCAAGTTCTTTTGTACGGGAACTACATTAAGCAATAGACATTAAACGAATATCACTACTTTTCTCGATGTACTTTGGCATTCTAAATTTTGCATAAGACCTCTACTAGACTAAGCTCTATACCATTAATTGCAGTAAAAAAAGTATGAATGTATTGATAAACAAATTGCACATTATATTTTTTTGTTACCATTATACTTTCACAACAACATGTCATTTACATTTTTTTTTATCTTTTTCCTCCACAGTTTCTCACAATTACTGTGATAAATCATCTTCTCATAAAAATAATTTTCTTACTATAAATTAAATCTATCAAAGAAATTAACAAAATTTTAAAATTAAAATATTTTTAATGATATTAACTTCAATATAACTAGATAAAGGTAAGATTACTATGTTGAATTTTAATATAAAATGATAAAAATAAAAGATAAACATCAACTACTAAATTTAAAAATGTTAAAAATTAAAGGTGAAACTTTTGATTAAAAATGTTCTCAATATACTCACAAAATCATGTTAAAAGAAACCTGATTTTTAATTAAAAAAACATTTACTAAAATTTCAACTAATTATCTTATATATATATATATATTCACACACGAATGAAATGAAAAATATAAATAAAAAGTACAGATGATATATCATATATTTTGCATTTACGTGTAGCAATTCGTTAGTTTATATTTTTTCTTGCATAATTATAATTAAAAAAATTATAGATTTTAAACAACTTTTAAAATGATTTAAATAAGAAAATATTATGAATGCTTTGATTTTATTGCATTATGACACATTATTGAATATTCCAACATTTAATCTTTGAGTGTTTACATTTATTTACATATATTAAAAACTACTACTTACTTCTAATAGTGTGTGGTCATCTTAATCTGAATCCCAATCTCAACGATGACATTGACCGAAACTTCTTTCAAGTTTCTTGCAACGCTCTTAATCTTGAAACGCGTCCAACAAAAAAAGCACGTTTCCCATCGTGGAGTGAGAGTCAGAAGTCAAAGGTAGCGCGTTCCAATCTGTGCACGCGCTTCTTTTCCCCGCTGTATATAAATAGCAGAAGGGTTTTAGAATTTCTTCAGCGTTCACACTCCATATTCACACATGGAAATCGATTCTCTGGAAGATTATTTCTCATTCCCATTCCCAGACACCACCATGGATCCCAATTTCAATCCAAACGCAAAGAAGCGTCGCAGAAACCAACCCCAACAGACAACCCCTTGGACCGACTTAAACGACGCCGCATTGAACGACTTACTCAATTCCCTCATTCTCTTAGAAAAACACCAACAACCAACAACAACGCTCATGAATCCTCACCCATTCCAACCCCAATTAAACGACGTCGACTCATCCCCAACTAAAAAGCCTCGTCGTCGCCCCCAACAAAACGACTCCCTCATGCAATTGCAAACGACCAGTTCTTCAACCACCACCGCTCCGCAACGCCGTTTATGGGTGAAGGACCGTTCCAAAGACTGGTGGGAACGCTGCAACCACCCTGACTTCCCCGACCACGAGTTCCGCCGATGCTTCCGAATGAGCAAAGCCACCTTCGACTTCATTTGTAGCGAGCTCGATTCCGCCGTCATCAAGAAGAACACCATGCTCCGTGACGCCATCCCCGTTCGCCAACGCGTCGCCGTTTGCATCTGGAGACTCGCCACCGGCGACCCTCTTCGCGAAGTTTCCAAACGCTTCGGCTTAGGAATCTCCACCTGTCACAAGCTCGTTCTCGAGGTCTGTTACGCCATTAAAACCGTTCTGATGCGAAAGTTTCTCCGTTGGCCAGATGAAGGCAACATGAAACTCGTAATGGAAGAGTTTGAAGCTCTCTCTGGAATCCCCAATGTTGGGGGTTCCATGTACACCACTCACATTCCTATTATTGCTCCAAAATCTAACGTTAACGCTTATTTCAATAAGCGTCACACGGAGAGGAACCAGAAAACTTCTTACTCTATAACAGTTCAGGGTGTGGTTGATCCAAAAGGGGTTTTCAGTGATGTGTGTATAGGGTGGCCTGGTTCTCTCTCTGATGATCAAGTGCTGGAGAAATCCGCTTTGTATCAGAGAGCTAGTGGAGGGAGTTTGAAGGATGTTTGGGTTGTGGGAAATTCTGGGCACCCTCTTATGGATGGGATTTTGGTCCCTTACACGCATCAGAACCTTACTTGGACGCAGCATGCTTTTAATGAGAAGGTTGCTGATATCCAGAAGATTGCTAAGGATGCTTTTGCCAGGTTGAAAGGAAGGTGGTCTTGTTTGCAGAAGAGGACCGAAGTGAAGCTTGAGGATTTGCCTGGGGTTCTTGGGGCTTGTTGTGTTTTGCATAATATTTGTGAGATGAGGAATGAGGGAATGGATCCTGAATGGGGGTTTGAACTTTTTGATGATGAGATGGTTGCTGAGAATGCTGTTCGTTCTTCTGCTTCAGTGCTGGCTAGAGATCGTATTGCTCACTATTTGTTGCACCATGGCCGTGCTGGCACTACTTTTTTGTAGCTTTTCTCTCTTGTGCCACAGGGATGCTTACTCGTGTTGTACTGTAGTTTTACCCTCATTTTGTCATTCTTTTGGCTATGCCTTATTATTATAGTCACAGAGGGAATAAGATTGTAATGTTATGTTAATGATGGGTTTAGGTGTGTCAATATGTAAAGATATTCTTTTATCCAACCAAAAAAATTAATGTACTCTTTGATTTTCTTACTGAATGATTTTGGCCATGTCCTTAATGGTTTCAGAGATTTTCTGCTCAGTTCCTCTTTCGGGTTGTGCTGGTTCGAAACTACGCGCTACTTCTTCCTTATTATGCCGTTAAATTTGACTTTTAAATCCTCAATTAATGTACGCTAACTTGATACCACAGCGTGTTAATTTCTTTCTTTTTCTCTCCGGTTCAATGCCATGACTCACATATTGTTGTTCTGCTGTGTCCTACAATGTTTGACCCTACGACCCTAGCTCTCCAACCTGGAAATCTTAATGATGTGATCTAATTAATGTTTTTGACTTCTGTCAAAAGTCAATGTGTCTAGCTCCCAAGACTAATGTTACAGAGAATGAAAGTGGAATATTTTGGTCGTGTATCCGCATTTGGAATTGGAAAACTGCTGGTCTCAGCATGCTTTTTTGAACAGTTGGGTTGTTAAAATCGATCTGTTTACCCACTATAATATTTTCCCTCTTTTTCTTTTTCTGTTTCATCCCCTGTCCCAACTACTTTCACTCTTTTCCCATTAAAAAAGTAGGACTCTTTCAAAGACCGTAGGATCCCGGTTTCTTTCGTATGTTTCCCTCTTTCACGCACGTAATGTTACAGGCCCAAACTCCCCCAACCCTGCGATCTCTTAACTACCACTGAGCAACTGTCAGACGATCGACCAAGCCTTTGGGGAAAGGGAAAAATCTCTTTTTTTCTTTGTGTTTTTGTGGGAGAATAGAGAATTTGAGTGAAGGACTAGGGAGGGGTTTTGACTTTGTGCATGGAGATATGAGAATCACAAGGCGGAGAAGGAGCAAGGAGTTGTAGGTTCGAGCTTGACATGACAGGTCTCAGTCTCTCAGATAAAGCAAATCCGACGGCACAGAATAACAGGTGACAAATTTTATTCTTCCACTGCCCTCAGATTCTCTCTTGTTGTTGGCGGCTTCTATTTTTGGCGCTTGGTTTATGCTGTCGATATTTTGGAGTCCCTTTTTCTGTTTTGGCAAATATAGTTATTGCCGCATCCAACTCGAATACGGCAATGGTAATATTAGTGAGTAAACTTGGATGGTTTTGCATCTTTTGAATTTGACTGCCTTGAGGATAATTGGCTTACAGGGAATCTTGCAGTTCATTTATTTTAACTGAATATGTCAATAGGCCCTTTTTGATACATGACAGATGTATATACACGAATTTACCCTTTACCATGTACCTCGGGTACATACGAGAAAGCTTTGCTCTTGCAATGAAATTCCCTTCTCAAGGAATTGTTTATTTTTCTTCTTCTTCCCTTTCCTTGTTTTTACTTTCAGAAAAAAAAAATGAATCTCCTTTTGAAAACCTAGAAGACCCTGCATTAATAGCTGATAGTTGATATTCGACACGTGCGTAGTGTTGAATATCCACCAGTGAGATATTGATTCTAATTACCAAGGATTTTATTTTGCAAAAGCAGGGGACAGCCTGTGCTTAGAATGTCATTTATGGGAAAAGTTCAAGGAAGAAGCAAAGGTCTGGAGTGAATAAATGAAAATGGGTTGTCCCATCATCTGGTGACTATTGTCATCACTGTTTTGAATTTTTTTAATGGCCAAGCCGAACAGGGACAATCAATCAGTTTCGGTTTAAATTATGTTCTATTCTCTTTTGTCTCCGCGATCAAAAACTTCAGTTCGTGCAATGGAAAAGTCAGTTAAATTTTCCAAAGGAGGAAAGGTTGACGATTTCTAAAGCAAAGGATCTACTATGTAGGTTGCTTTGTGACATTAAGCATAGGCTCTGTACTAAAAGAACATTTTCTTTAAAAAAAATTTACTACAGAACTTTATAGTATTATTGGCCAAGCTCCTCTGTGGTTAAGAGTTTGTCGAATAGAACAATCTCTACGGAATGGAAACAGCATTTAAAACACGAGTCAGTGAGGACTTGACACTGAAAATTTTATAAATCCGATGATGTAAGATGCTATAATTTATGAATTCCTTTGTCTGCTTTTCAATCTCATCGGTATCCTCTTTACCTGCAAGACTTATTTGACTCTGGTTTGGTCCTGCCATTTGGCCAGTCTGTTCTTGACAGAAGTAGGTGCCATTGCCAATAAAGCCAACGGCAGTTGCCACATGTTTACTCATCATTCATTGCTGCTATATAACACCAGTGAAGAACTATTTTTTCTATCTGTAGCTTCTTCACTCATACATATTCAAAATGCATTTTGCATGTACTATAATATCAATAATCCAATCAAATTAGAAAAATTTTCAAAATAAAAGGCAAATTGTCAATCCTAATTTAGAAGTTTTGTTGACAATTATGTTACCCAGAGAAAACTTGGTCAAGGGCCCTAATATCTCTTGCCTTGACATATATTGTACTTAATTAACGCACGTTCACATGCAGCAAATCTGTAAGGGTCATACACATTGCACTCTGTTTTACACACCTGACCATGTACAAAATATTTGGCAAGCGATTAGTGTCATTCCACAAAATATTTGTTCATGGGTACGAGTATGTTTGTGTGTGTTATATACCAAAAAACTCACGAGCCTTCACTTCATAATTTAAGATTTTGGGAGATTTGGCACTTTTTGGTATTTTAGAGCATTTATAATTAAGTGGTTATTGCTTTTTGCCCCCCTTCGTTTGCATTTATACATCATTCGGTTCGAAGTGGAAGAGTTCAATGTACTACAGAATATACCATCATCATAACAACTTGATGAATGAGCATGTGTATGTCTTCATGGAACTGAGATTGCGGGTGTGTTTGATTGAAATATTTTAAATGAGTATTTTTAGTAGACAAAAATAAAAAAAATTCTAAATTTTAATAAAAGGTGAGAATTTATAATATATATTTTTTATTTATTGTGTGCTTTACTTGTATTTTTAATTAATTTTATTAAATATAATGATAATTTTATTTTTTAAGAATATAAGTTAATTAACTACTCAATCAAAACAAAAAATATTTAAAATGAAGAAAATTTAATTATTTTATTTAAATAAAACATTTTTAAATAGTAAAAATTAAAATAATGTAATCTAAATTTTTTTAAATTTTAAATTCTCTAACATTTTTAACTGCTTCGTCCAAATACAACTTACCGGTAAAATAAAAAAGTTAGTATAAAACTAATCTATGGTCTTTCAATTTATTCACCATCTCTTACCCTTTTTCACATGTTACACGTCTTCATTTATTACACATATTTGTAGCTAGTCAATATCTTAAATTTGTTAGTCATATTAACAAAAAAATTTACTTAAAATATAAATTTAAAAAATAAAAAACCATATATTCAAGTATAATAAAACGTGTATATAAAATTATATTTTTTAAATAGAAGATATTTTAAAAAATTATAAATTCTGAGAAAAATAAATAAAAATAATAGACCATAAAATTTTTTGCAAAGAAAAATTATTTTTTACTAAACCAAATATAGATAATAAATGAAAATTTTAACTACAAATAATACAAATAATGTGTTAAATATTATAAACATTCACAATTAAAAAATTTATATAAAATGATAAAATAATTTATAAATATAAATATAAGTGTTTACTAGAAATTTAAAATTTATATAAGAAAAAACTTATAAATACAAATTCAGATATTCTTAAAAATTATAAAAATTTATATAAAGTAATAAAAAAAGTTAAATAGAAAATTTTATTTTATAAAAATTAAAATCACTTCATATAATTTATAAATTATTTTTAATTAATTTTAATGTTTAAAAATATACATTAATTCTACTTAATATTTTATTTCTCAAATAATATATTTTTAGTTATAATATAAAGGTAAATGTTATTAATAATTTTTTAAAAAGATAAATTGAAAAAACAAAGGTAAATGACCACGTGGTAGTAGACTTTATATTCTTAGTGTAACACTACTAGTGTTTATGGATTAGTATTCTAAAATCAAGTTTAACGATACTATTGCGTATTTTTAATAGCAAGTTTGTGTTTTTTTAAATATTTTTGAATTAAGATTTTAAAAAATTATATAAAGTTGTCAACTCGACTTATAAAATGAACCAACGTATTTTTCATCGAGTAGTTTTGATTTGAATTTGCTATTTTTAAAATTCAAATTAAATAATTTTAATTTAATAAAAAAATTATCTTTTAAAAAAATAAATTGATTGAATCAATTCATGTACATCTTGACTTAATATATTAAATAGTAAAGACTAACTTCTTTTATATCATAATAATATTTTCACCATGTATGCCTCCTAAGCTGACACGAAAATATAGTATGATTTTTTTTAGGTTAGCTATGGTCATGTGATTTTAAATTATATGATGTGTAAATAATTTATAATCCTAAGTGTTTGGAATATAGCTGATGACATAAATTTACATGACACCATAATAATCATGGCACATGTATGTAACACATTGCCAGTTATACGGTATCGAAAATGGTATTCCGGAAAAGTCCCTGTTTGAATGGGGATCCTAAATTTTGAAAAACACAAAAGATGGGCAAAAAGGTAAAACGACGTTGGTCCAATTGTTGGCGATCATGATCAAAACACCGGACTCCTCCTCCTCCATGGCTTCGCGTCGTACGAATTTGGAGCTCAAACTCAGCGTCGACCAACCCAACTCTTCAAAATTCAAACCACCTTTCGATTCTCTCAATCACCAATAACACTCTCTTTTCATTGCAACAACATTCAAGGTCTTCTTCAATTTTGAATTTCGCTATTTTTTTTTTTAGTTTTTTTTCTTCACGATTCAACTTCTAGGGTTTTGTTTTTTTGCAATTCATAATGCTCTTACTGGTTCACGAAGGTAGTTCGTTATTTCTCTTTTATTGTTTTCCGTCGATTGAACCCCTAGGGTTTCGTCTTCTTACTTATCTGTTTCCTTATAAACAAATTAAAATTATAATTGTGCTTTCGAGCAAATTTAGATGGAGGCAATAGGGGAGAAGAGGTATTTGCTTGCATGGACTTGCTTCAGCTTAGGCTACACAAGTTATCTCGTTGATTGATACATATTTATTTTCTATTGCTTTTTATAAGAAAAACTACTGAGGATATTGACGTACCGAAATTGTAGTTATATTGCATTATATTTTATCATATATTAAAGAAAAAAGTTCAGACTACATGGCAAATTGTATGTGCCGTCATTGCGTAATATGTTGGTAGATAATGCGCTGAACTGAGGAAGTAAACTTTAGAGCAAAAGGAAGACGGGTGAGTATAGGAAGGAGAAATTGTGAACAACTGTGTGCGTCATCTAATGTTTCTGCTTGGCACCTTCTGAGAGCGGGACTTAAACTGTTTTTTGCGTGGTCAGAAACTGTGCTTATTTTTTGTAAGGATTGGCATTCTGTTTGCTAGTGAATACGGTAAATGAAGATTGGAGTTTGATTTATAGTTAGCATAAATGCTAGAAGTAATTGGTTTGTATATGGTATATTGTTAACCAGTCTTCATAGCATTTGTTGTAAATATATAGATTTCTCCATGATGCTAGTCATTCATTTATTTTTATAAAATTATATTTCTTTATATGATCATGATACTTGCGAAAGTACAGTCAATCTGACTTGCATATGATGAGCTTGCTCATCTCTTCTATGGTCAAAATCTATGTTGACTAATGTAAACTTGGAAAAATTCTTACACATGGTTATATTATTCACTTTCTTTTCCTCCATTTTTGAATGGGAGTGCCTGTTAACATCAAGTTTTCTTCATTCTATAATTTGCAGCTTAAAAAAATACCTACATTTATTACAAAAGGATGCTTGATGGCAGATAGTTGCTATTAGGACTAAAGGTAAATTACTACATCTTACAAAATTTTTATGTGTTTTTTTTATCCTGCAGTCTTTCTTCATTCAACTGTAACTTAGATAGTTAAACACATCAAGAAGAAGGTTCACATGCTATGAGGACTTGTTGTTGTCAGTCTTGTATGTATTTGTCATTATTAAAATGAGATTTTATACTAGAGATTTATGAAGTATTTGTTTAAGCTCAAAATAAAGTGATTCTATAATATAATTTTTTAATGTTTTTTCCAGAAGCTATTATTTTCATCCCTTAAGGAAAGAACTAAAATAGCTTATATTAAGGTATTTATTTATTTTTCAAAAACGTATTTATTATCATTTTTTAAACAATTTTTATTTAAAATATACTCTTCCTTTAAAAGATTCAGCATTTAGTTTGATTTTTTTTAGTTGAAGTGGTATATTATTATCAGAAATGATAAATTAGAGAAATGAAAATGAGGACCTATGCCTATATAAACCAGAATCGCTGACAAGTATGATGTAATTTAATTCTTTTATGAGATTTTTTTAGTAGATTGGAGTTAAAAATATACTTTATAATGATTTGTTGAAGTTTTCAATTTAATTAGCTTTTTATTAGAATGCTGGCATTGATAGCTTTATTTACTTCTGAAAATTTTGATGTTTATGTAAACTTGTTTTCATCATCTGTGGAAATCATTAGAGAATATATGTCAAATATATTTTGCCTTTTTGACTATTAAGCACTGGGATTTGGAATAAGAGAATGATATAATTTTAACCATTCAGATAAGTTCTACATGGTGTGTTATAAATTCCTTAGCTTTTAATAAATTTGAAAGTTTTTTTATTTGCCATATGAATTTGTGGCACTGTAGAGCATTAGTCCTTATTTGTAATTCCAAGCCTTACATTTGGTGAATTGGTGCTCACATTAATATCTCCACATCTCAGCCATTAGAGTTTGATTTTTCGCTGAATATTTTTATTCTTTCAGGTCCTTTGTCCAATTCTCTTGTAATTTAGATTTGCCCTTTATGTGCTACAGTGCCACACCTTTGTCATGCGCCACTCTCTGTCCTGTAATTTTGACTCAAAGGATGTGTGGGAACTAGTGCAATGGCAACATCTAACAAGTTTGATCCATCTTCCAGTAGCCCAGATAGACCATTGTACCCTGGGCAACGTGGATCCCACATAGCTGCTTCATTAGATAGATCAGGTAGCTTTCGGGAAAGCATGGAAAATCCAAGTCTGTCTTCTCTTCCTAGCATGTTGAGAAACAGTTCTTCAGCAACGCATGGGGATGTGGAAAGCTTCTTCAATTATGTGCATTTTGATCCAAAGTTGTTAGCACTAGAGCATAAGTCTAATCGTCAAATGGATTATAAGCGGCACACTAATGCTGCTCTTGGAATTTCACCTGACGAATCTCCATCTAGTTCTTCTAAAGGCAAGCTACTGCCATCGCCCATACCAGAAGACATCAAACGACTTAAGGAAATTTTGCATGCAAACAATGTGAAAGCAAGGTAGTTCTTTGTAGGTTTTGTTGCTAGCGTTGAAGTTAGATGTGTGTAATTAAGTCATAACATTGCCCATGCATTATTCGACAGGGAACGTGTGAAAATGTTTAGTGAGGCCCTATCTGTATTTCATGAAGTTTTCCCAGCTATAACTTCTAAAAAGAGATCTCGAGCTGAAGGTTTTTCTAATGACCGTTCTAATGCCATGCTAAGTGATCGGCCGGTCTTGGGTCCAAGCATAGGTAAGGTTGGAGTTCAAAGTCATCCTGTCACAAGTGCTTTTGAACTTGAGCAGCAAAAGTCAGAAGAACGAGCCAAAAATCTTGTTCCAAATAAGCGCACTCGAACTTCCATGGTAGATGTAAGGGTATGTGTCTTTGATTTCTGTTTTCCCCCATGCATGTTTGCAAGTGTTAACACTACTCTTTTAATGCCTCCTATTATTTCTTATTCAATTTCTTACTGTATCAAAATTAAAAATATATACTGCACAGTTATAACTTATAAATAGTATACATGCCATAGTAGTATATTTTGAAACATTTGTTCATATCCCTGATTTACATGGAAACCTCCTTTAGTTCTTTGCAAAAGTTGCTTGCTAGAACATTTCTCCATTGGTATTCTAGTGGATATCACTTTGTGTAAAATTCTGTTATATTAAAAAAAACTATATGCAGGTTTATTTATGTATTTAGTGTTCTACCAGAAGCTGGCATGTAGGTTTTTATGAGGTTTATGTTTGTTTATGCTTTTCATTTTTCTTCTCTGAAAGGTGAAATATAGGATATTCTACCTTTTCAGTTTTTCTGTTCTAATTAAGCATGTGATGCAGTGTTGTAGACTTGAAGCTTTAATTTTTTTTTCTTTCCTTATGTGGAGAATCATCTTTCAGATTAACATGGAATGCATGAAAACCTGTTAAGTGAAACTGATTTGTTTTGATAAATTCCAGATGGATGTGCGGACCAATTCTCTTGTTAGGCCATCAGGGACAGTTGACAGAGATAAGGAAAAACTACGGATTGCCAACAATGGTGTAGTTCCGAGTGAAGAACGAACCTTACCTATTGGAGGTGATGGTTGGGAAAAGTCAAAAATGAAGAAGAAGCGTTCCTGCATCAAAATAGATGGTTCTCCAAATACAACATTGACTAAACCTGTTAGCACCTTCCAGGAAACTAAGCAGGGAATACAACAAAGAATTGTTACTGATTCGCGGTCAAAGTTGGGAAATGATTCTCATTCTTTCAGGTATGAAATGAATGCGTTATGTTATCATTATTATTTTGGTTATCGTATTCATTTTTCGATATGATATTTTAAGAGAAAGATAGGACAGTAGGTACATTTTTTGAGGTGCTTGAGGATAAGAAAATCATCCTTTAAAGAGAGGGGGAAAAGTGGCATAATGTCTTAAAAAAAACAGTTAGACTTTTCAAACTCTGCATATCAATAATTGAAATTCCTATGAAATAACCATGAGCATATATCCCTAGAGAGAAATCATACAGAGAATCCTGTTCAATTTCGGGGCAAATAGCCATTCTTGAAAATACAAGCATACCATTTCCTCTCTAACTAACTGCTGAATAACTGCATAAACTGTTTACTTCCATAGAATTGTAGCCTCTGTTTGCTTTCAAAACTTTTAGTTGAAAAAAAAAAGTAAAATTATAGGAAGTAACTGTTTTGGACTTCTCTCCTGAGAGTGTTAATGGTGGAAGGATTTACTTCAAAGAAAGATAATACAGTTGTGAGGGATTTTGAGAGGTTCTTTCTGATTTTATGGCTCATGAATTTAAAATTCTTGATGGAAGACAGCATGTAACATTTTTTTTTGTTTATCCAATTCTTATTGATTCTCTAGCTTCAATTTAGGCTGTAAATATAATCATTTCATGTATCTTTGTACAGGTCAGGAGTTGCTAATGGAACAGTTGGAGCTGGCAAATCAGATGGTATCTCTCAGCAGACTGGGTTGGGCATGCGTGCCTCTACCCCTAGAAATGACCAAGATAATAATTCCCTTGTCAATGATAGGCGGGGTCGTCCTGTTAGTTCGGACAAGGAAAGGGTGAACTTCAGAGCTGTTAACAAGTAAACAGAAGCTGTTGATCCCATTTCTTCTGTACATGATTTTGTGCTTTTGGGAAAAAGAATTGTCCTGCACTACAATTATTTCTGCATGTTGTTTCATCTTGTTTTGGTAGAGTTGTTCAGTTGTCCCATATCTGGGTGCTATGGATCCCTGTGATTATAGTTCAAATATCTCTTCGTCTGTGTGATATATTTTCTGTAGTTGATAATTGATTCAGTATCTGTGTTTTGTTCAATGCCCAGGGCAACTGTTCGTGATGAATTTAACACTGCTAGCCCTACCTCAAGTACAAAAATGAACACTGCTATTCGGGCCCCACGATCAGGTTCTGGCGTTGCCCCCAAGTTGTCACCAGTTGTCCATAGAGCAGCTGTTCCTAATGATTGGGAGCTATCTCACTGTGCCTCAAAGCCACCTGCTGGTGTTGGTAGTAACAATCGTAAACGTGTGGCATCAGCACGGTCATCTTCCCCACCTGTTGTCCACTGGCAGAGACCTCAAAAGAGCTCTCGCACTGCCAGAAGAACTAATTTCATGCCTCCTGTTCCAAATAATGATGAAACTCCTGGTTTGGATACTGCCTCTGATGTGACTGGTAATGATCTTGGGTTAGGATTTGCCAGACGTCTGGCTGGCAGTTCTCCTCAGCAAATTAAATTAAAAAGCGAGCCTTCATCCTCTGCTGCCTTATCTGAAAGTGAAGAGTCAGGGGTGGCTGAGGTTAAACCCAAAGAAAAGGGTAGGAAACCAGAAGATATAGATCTGAAAGCTGGACAAAATGTTCAAAAGGTGTCTAACTTAGTATTGCCAACAAGAAAGAATAAACTTGTTTCTGGGGAAGAACATGGAGATGGTGTTCGGAGGCAAGGGAGGACAGGACGCAGTCATACTGCCACAAGATCCCTGATGCCAATGACTTCTGAGAAACTTGGGAATATAGGAACTGCAAAACAACTTAGAAGCGCAAGACTAGGATCTGATAAGAATGAAAGGTTCACATCCATCTAAGTACTTTGTTTAGGTTGTTTGACAATTTGTTTGAGCACATGGATTAAAATCTATGATTTGATGAAATGCTTGCAGCAAGGCAGGTCGTCCACCAACTAGGAAACTTTCTGATCGCAAGGCCTATGCCCGTCAAAAGCCTGCTATTAATACAGCAGCAGATTTTTTTGGTACACATTTCTCTAGAAAAATATTAATGAACTCAACTTTTGTCAGCAGTACAAGTATATTGTTATTCACTTTTTGTTTTTATTTGGTTTAGTTGGGTCAGAAGATGGACATGAAGAACTGTTGGCTGCTGTAAAGGGTGTTATCAACTCTGGTATGAATCTAACTAAATACTATCTGTATTTGCAGCTTAAATATTTCTCTCTGATGGAGTAGTTTTGTATTTTCTTAATACTGCAGCTCATGCCTTTTCCAGCCCCTTCTGGAGGCAGATGGAGCCTTTCTTCTGTTTGATATCTGAGGAGGTTATTACTTACTGGAAGGAAAGGGTACTAATCTTTACCTTTGAACTGATTATGAATGACAATGACAAATTTTTTTTGGTTAAATTAATAATTTGGTCCCTGATTACACATGAGAAAACTCTACATTATTGTCCCTACATGAAAATAAACATATACGAATCAGTCTTTGTTGTTTGTTGATATCACAATGTTGTTAGATTTGGTCCGTACATCCGATAACAATTTTTAATTTGTTACTTATATGAAAAAAAATTTACACTTTGTTTTGGTCCATATATTGACAAAATAAAAAACTCCATAATTTGGTCCCTATACAGGATGCACACATTTAGAGAGCATTATTTTCATGTAGTGCCCAAAATGCAATTTTTTTATTTTTTTAGAGACTAAAATGAAAAATGGTGAGAAGTGTAGGGACCAAATTTTTAATTTAACCTTTTAATATTGCTGAAATGTACTCTTATGTCAACCAGGTCAAGTATGCAATGTTGTCTTTTGGTTTAGACATTTATTTGGTGCAATAAATATGATCTAGAGGATGAAATACAGCACAGCCATTGACTGTTTTAGTGTTTAATTTTTCCACCTTTAAAGAATACAGGTTTTTGGCTGTATTTAATTTCAAGCACAGATTTTTCCTTTATTATATAGCATTGATATGACCTTTGGTTGATTATTTGGGAGTAATAACTTTTTTTGTCAAACTACAAATGCCTATTATGTTCTGATGCAGCATGGAACATTGGCCATAAACTTTTTTGTTTTGTTATGTTTGTATCATATATCTGTTCTGTTTTATTTTGATATATGTTTTAAAATTTTCCCTTTAATGTTTTATAAAATAAATTTTATTGATGATTGAAGCAAAATTAAATTGGTTTTTTAAAAAATGGAATTTCTGAGATGAACATAGAATGGGAACAAATTATTCAAACTTGTTTAATTAGTTAGTACTTCACTTGCCCTTCAGGTAAATCTTGAATCAAGCTCATTGACACCAACACCAGTTCCTTCAGATATAGATGGTTGTGAAACCTATGTTAATGGATATGGGTTGATAGGCCATGAAAGAGATGTTGGATCTGATGCTCAATGGAATGCTAGAATTATTACAGAACCGTTACAACTTTCCAAGGGAGATCATACTGTGATTCCTCTCTGTCAAAGGCTTATAACTGCTTTAATCTCAGAGGAGTATTGTAGTGGTGTTAGTGACGACTTCAAGTTTGATGCATATGATACTGAATTTGAGCCAGATGGAGAATTAGAATTGAGTGGTTTGGATCACCGCCCAGGAACAAATTGTCAGTTTGCTTGTCATTCTGCTTATAATGGTTATAGCATTATTGGGAAGCCAGAATGTGATGAAACTGAAAATGATGTAGTTGGTATTCCTCCAACTGGGCTGAAATCAAGCTTTGGTAACTCTGTAAATGGTTTTCTTCATGATAAAGCATCAATGTCTAGCTCATGTTCAGAGTTGCAATATGATAACTTGGATATAAATGATAAGCTTCTCTTGGAGCTTCAAAGCATTGGAATTGCCCCTGAACCAGTGGTAAGCTTACTTGCCTAATCCAAAGGATTTAAACTATATTGTTCTAGTTTGTTCTGTAGTTCTGTCTGAACTCTTCTTGTTAATGTACCTAATGGATTTACTTCAAGGTGTTTTGAATGATACTGATTTTAATTTTATTTTTCAAGCCTGAAATGGTGCAAGCAGATGATGAAGCAATATTGGAGGATATTACTAGGCTAGAGGAGCTTTACCAAAGACAGGTACTGACTGATGTTGAAGCCAAGTTATGCTTTATTATCTGTAAAAAACTGTTTTTCCCCCAAAACTATCATTTGTTATGTAATGTCTCATATATTAGATATTTATATATTACTTCCTAATATGTAAACATATAGATCAGTCATAGAGATGAAAACCTTCAATTTATAGATTTCATTCAACATTTAATGAATTTACTTATGATTCTTATTTTCTTGCATATTATAGATTTCCAAGAAGAAAAGCTTGCTAGATGGATTGTTGAAATCTGCCTCGGTGGAAAAAGAACTTCAAGAGAAGTAATTGCACTGCCATTTATACCCTAATTATTTGCTTATGTTAACCATTTTTGCTTTCTTTATTCTGAATGGAAATATAATTTTCTGTTCAACAGGGATTTTGAGCAACATGCTCTAGATAAACTTGTTATCATGGCTTATGAGAAATACATGGTAATCTTCTTAACATTCAATACTATTTGTAAATATAATATGATTTCCTCACCTTATGAGCTATCTTTTGACATTAAGTTAGGGTTAAAGCCCAAATTCAACAGAATATAATTTTTGCATGCTATTTAGTTATGCACCTGTTGAAAAGGTTGGGGATCTTTATATTGCACTAACAGGTACAGGATTGTTAGTGAGAACCTGGTGTAAACTCTCTTCGATTGTCTATGTAGGACATTTTTTTCTCCCCTAGTTTTGTAAACATCAAACCCCTGAGCTGATTTTAGCAATTAAAAGTGGCCAATTTTTATTGGGAAGCAAAGCAATTGTTATTCCTTTATTTTTTTAATTTTATTTTTTTGGAGGGGGGGGGGGGTGTTAGGAGGAGAAACACATCACACATGTAAGTATATGTATTGTTGGCAACATGTTTATCCATAAAGCAGCTGCTGGAGCTGTTAAGGTATTGTACACATAAAAGTGGGTGATTGTAGTATTCCTCCCTTGGGGTTTGCATCAAATTAAGATATTTTAGTGTATAAATCCTATCATTTACATCTGGAAAGCGTAAATCCCAAGAAATAGTTCAGACATGATATATTTGACCTATTCTTCGTTTTTTACAAGTAAAACCAAAATCCATGATTTGCCTCTTTATCTTGTTTAAAATAATTTAAACTGTTTTAGAAAAAGAATCAAGCCTTTCCATTTACTAGTAGAGTCAAGGAAAGGGTGCCCCAAGCACAAGGCTCCCAAGTCCCACAATTATGGGGTTTAAGGAGGGTTAGAGGTATGCACTATTACTTGTGAGAAAATAGGCCATTTCTGTTACTAAAACCCATGACTACCATGTCAAAAGGCTATTACATTACTGTTACGGTGATCCCCTTCAAAATCCCGTGTTTTGTATAATTAGGTCATATGGCAGAGTAAATTGAAAAATGATTTATTGTCAGGCTTGTTGGGGTCCTACTCCCTCTGGTGGGAAAAATTCAAGCAACAAAATGGCCAAGCAAGCTGCATTGGGATTTGTTAAACGGACATTGGAGCGATGCCATCAATTTGAAGATACTGGCAAGAGCTGCTTCAGCGAGCCATTATTCAAGGATATGTTCCTTGCTGCTTCCCAGCTTAGTTTTGCTCGGCAGTTAGATGGAATGGAGGCTGAATCCTCAAAACCATGTGCTTCTTCCCTCTCTCTGGAAGCAAGAACAGGTGTCTTCTTCATTACTTTATTTGGAATAAATGCTCTAATCTACCCCATGCTTCTATCTCAGCTGTGTTTAGCATGACCATTTTAGCTTACACTCTCATTGCTTTGATTAGATATACCATCTTCTTTGTCTGATATGTAATGTGAAATAATCTTTTTTATGGTTATGCTCATCTCAGAAAAGGCTGGATTTTGATATTTTATTTTTTTTGTTTACTATCTGCAGCTTCCATGGGTTCACAGCAGAGCCCATCACAATTTAGTCAAAGTATGGGTAATCATGATCTGAACTCTTCAGATATGCTTGCCGCTTTAAATCATTCATCTGAACAAACTAGTGGGAAGGAAGATCTCTGGTCAAGCAGAGTGAAGAAGAGGGAATTGTCCCTTGATGATGTTGGTGGTGGTATGCCAGGTATTTCTAGTGCTTCAGGCATTGGAAGCTCTCTAACAAGCAGTGCAAAAGGAAAGAGGAGCGAGAGGGACAGAGACGGAAAAGGGCACAGCAGGGAGGTACTATCCAGAAATGGAACTGCCAAAGTGGGTCGGCCAGCGTCATCCAGTGCTAAGGGAGAAAGAAAATCCAAGACAAAGCCTAAGCAGAGAGCAAATCAGCATTCCGTTTCTGTGAATGGCCTTCTTGGCAAGCTTTCAGAGCAACCAAAACCAGCATTACCTTCTGTTTCAAAGTCCAATGAAATGCCCACAAATGGCAATGCAAAGGAAAAGGATGAGTTTGGCTTGGGTGATTTGGATGACCATGAGCCTATTGATTTGTCCAACCTGCAGCTACCTGGAATGGATGTACTAGGTGATGACCTTGCTGACCAAGGTCAGGATCTTGGGTCATGGTTGAATATTGATGACGATGGATTACAAGATCATGATGACTTTATGGGCCTTGAAATTCCCATGGATGATCTTGCAGACTTGAATATGATGGTTTGAAGCTGCTTTCTTTGTATAGTCCTGTTCAGTATACCAGTAACAAAGCAAAGTACTTTTAAGAAATGACTAGTTACATAGGATGGTCTTATGACTAATCCCGTCCACAGTTAGGCTATATAGATTCTTTGGTAGGCTATTCTCTCCCCAAGTTGTTTTTGAGTGACCTTTCCAGCTGTTTCAGATTTTGCTCGTGTTAAAAGTTAATGACTTCCACTGTAAAGATCTTTTTGTTCAAGGTACAAGTTAGCTATCCTAGTAATTATATCTTAGCAAACACTGTCCTGGTTGTAGCTCTTAAAAATCAGAGAACAAGACCTCTTGTACATACATTTAATATTTCTAATAAAATCAGCTTTTCATTTGCTGAAATGACACTGGCTGGCCACTCCGTTGGTCTCTCTTCTTTTCCCTCCTGCTTGGGTTTTCTTTTGGCATTTTGCGTTTTGCAGATACATGCCTAAAATGAGATGGAGTGCAAGTAGTTTGCTGCAGTAGCTTCATCCAGGTATTATGCACACTATTGTATGAGATTTCCAAGGAATAACTACACTGCTGTGAATGTGATCAACTGATTGTTGTCTGCGTTGGATCAGTTCAGATAATCCTGTTGCTGTCCTGCTTATGCAACTTTTTGGGTATATTATGAGATTTTGGGGATCTATCATTGCTCAGTCTTTTTTTCTTTTAAATTTCAATTTACGTTTTGCAAGTGAATCCAGGTTAGACATTTTACCTGATATTGTAATAACCTAAGCATAGAAAGTTATGCCAAGGAATTGGGAAATTTTTATGTTCATTCTAGTTGATTGACTTTAGAGATTCCTTAGCTGGATGAATTACTACCATTGAAGATTGAAGGTTCATTTTCTCGTTGAATAACTTGAAATATTCTTGACAGGGTTCACCTTTGTAAGAAATTATGCAAGGGAATTTTCTTCCCTGACGAAAATGAGGTGATGCTTGGAGGTAAGCTTTGAATTCTTGCTGGCCTTCCGGATTTCCATCTTTTTACTTAAAAGATTGATATTGTAGTAAAATTCCGTTGGGACATCAAAGGCGCAAATGATTTGGATACTATCCATGGATCGATAGCATGTGACTCGTATGGATTGTCTTCCTCTTTAAGCCTTACTTCCTCTATGTAATTAACATATTTTATGTTGCTGGAGCCAACGATTTCCTTTATATTGGGACTTGATGGGAATTTTCAATTCATTTGGTTTGAATGCGCGGTTTAACACTATAATAAAGTCAACAATTCAGGTTTTTCTTTTTTTTCCAATTAGCTACCTGCTTCCGAATTAAAATAATGTGCCAAAAAAATCGAATAATGATGGGATTTATTTTAATAGTGATGTGAGTTGAAGTTCCTTTATCTGTCCCTTTAAAAGAACTTTTTTTGGGGTGCCTGTTGAGTATGGGTTATGTTCTGTTTATTAGTCTACGGGTTGGTATCTGTTTATTATATTATTCAAATCAAATAATTGACAACCTATATACTTAGGCATGACAAACACGAAAAATCCAAAATCTCATTTTTTGAAATATACTTGGCACATTAATGTCTGGCATACAACAGTGATTAAACATTAAAAATTTTAGTTATCAGGGAAATAGTATCATTATTGCCAAATGTCTTTAAAAAAGATATTTAACAGTTTTTCAATCAGATGCACTATCGATAGTGGAAAACACCTCGCAATATTGCTTCAAACGAGTATTTATCGAAGAGAGATTATTTCGGGTGATATATAAATTTGTTTAAATAGAGTTTTCGATTATGAAAAAAAAAATTGCTAGAAAAAAATAACTGTACTTTATTGTAGATATTTTTAATTTGAACAAGTTTGTTTCTTATGAAAGATATTTGCAATTTTAAATTAAAAAGTATATTTATAATTTAATTTGAATCACTTAATCAAAATTAAAGTTCTTCATAATATTACAATCTATTTTCATCTTTCTGAATTAAATACATTCAAAACACTAAACTTGAATGAAACTTAAACTTGTAATAAATTGACATTAATATTCTTATAGAGAATTATAAATTAACAAGTATAAAGTTTATTTTTGGGTAACTAAAGTTATTAATTTAAACAATTAAGATTAAATCAAACTTACTTAAAAATAATCAATTAACACTTACAATATAAATATATTTTAAAATAACTTATTCTATTACAATAATGATTAAAAATATTCTTTTATTTAATTATATATGTATATAAATTATTTGTACTTAAAAGTATGTCAAGCAAAGCTGTGTTTTTAATATGAGAAGAAAATTCAGTGTTTGTAATAAAAACTTAACAGATACGAACGTAATATGATGAAGCTATAAAATACATATTTGTTTCGGTAATTTATTTTCCTTTTTTGGCTTAAAATACGTATGGAAGAAGAAGACGTATACATAGGGAGGGAGAGAGATTGAAATGATTATGATATGGTCGGTTGGTCAGCACTGAAATGGAGAACACGTGGAGACAAAGGGAAGGGTTTGAAGGTGTTGTCTGTCATGGCTTTCGGCACAAAACTAAATGCAAAGAGAAAGAGAATCTCTAAGATATCTTTTTTGGAGCTTCCTCATTTGTACGCGTCAACTGTCACGCCTTTACTATTTGTTTCTTGTCTCTGTCACTTCGGTTCATGCATCTTCCTATTCCCTGTTTCTAAATGCACCATTTCTCTTTTTTAAATACTCAACAGTATCTCATATCGTATTATATATTCCATGTAATCTTTTCAAATACAACATCTCTAAATTATTCACATAAAATAAAATTAATAATATAATTGTTCTTCTTTTATTATTGTGTTACTTTCGTACATATACATATACATCTCCCTTCGAACTTGGGTGTTTGTACTCCCTTCTCGATTGTCACGCCCACGTGGCTTCCTCGTACTGGCCCTCTTTCTTTCGTATTAAAAGAATGAAAAATAATGGGGTGGATCGTTCAACGTTTGATCTTTGATCAACAAACATTAACATAGCATAAAATAATCTAAGAGCACATTTGCAGAAGATACTAAAGTCCATAATGGATGAGAGAGATCGAGATTAGAGTGACTTCCACGTCTTAATCTTGTATTGGTAGATTAAAGAAAGAGTTTCTCTGGAATCCATGGAACCAAACTAAGATTAAATATCTTTTAGAAATTTGTTAATCAATATTTACTTGTTTAAGAATAAAAATAAAATATTATCACACAAAAATATTATTAACACATTCTCTTGTGATTTTTATTATAACTTTTGATAAAAAAATTATTTTTTTAATCAATATTCATATTCTTAGACACTTATTAGCAATATTATATTTTATTAGAAAAAAGGGGCTATGTGTCGACCCTGCAGAGGATGGAACGGAAAGCCTGCTTCATGATACATTTACTTTTTGCCTTTTCTTTTTGTTTGTAAAGAAATGAAATGAAATGAAATTAAAAAAGAAGGGAAAACAAAGTCATCTGTTGCGTAATAATTTATTTTAAAAAGCTGAAGCTCCTCTTCTTCTTTTTTTTTTTGTCAAAAATAAAAAATCATTAATGAAATAATATGTCCATCCTGCATATAGTTTGTTGAGGTTTCTGTTCCTCCTTCATTCCCAACCTTCAGTTTACATGCTGTATTTTCATTTGGTGAAGGTAAGTAACTAAGATTACTATATGTTATGTCCTTTCATTGTTTGTAGAGATTAATCTGAGTGTACTTTAGAGAAGAAATCTAAGCAAAGGTCACCTTCACCATAGTGATATGAGCAAAATTATTTGCCTTTGGTTTGATATGATCATTATTCATGTAGAGGTTGGGTGGCAAAGACTTGTTTGTTGTAATTGACACATGAAAGGAACAGAAAGAGGTAAAACCAGGGAAGGGAAATTTCAGTGGCTGGGGTGACTTGCCTCAGATCTAGGGAACCTCTCTTCTCATATTTGCACTATTTCCTTCCTAATTTTCATTTTCGGTGACCCCATTTCCCTTGTCTCTGTTTGCCAGAGAGGGACAAGGTACTTACTTTGTCAATTATTTGCTGCTGGTTTCTTGAATAATCTATTGCATGTTTTTCCAGGGATCAATCAAAAGGAGGGAGAGAGAGAAGGTTTGAAAAGGTTTAAAATAGAAGTCCAAAACAAGTGAATTCAGAAAGGATCTTGTGGGCTATTCCAGTATTTTATACCCAAAGAGAATAAACTTAAAATTTTGGATTTTGATGCACTGTATTTGACTGTTCTCCTAGGAGGTTGATTCTAAAGTCCTTTTATTTCTTGGCGTAGGTGCCTTCTTGGTGTTTTGATGCTGATTGAAACTGTATCATAGAAAGGAGGCTTAAGGAAAAAGGGTGGAAAAAGTAGTTAAAGGCTTGCGGCTTATTGGGTACTGGAAAATAAGAAAGGCTATTGCTACAAGGCAAAGTAAACCAATGGAGGAAATATCTTCTAGTGTTGCAGTACCTTTTACACTTGGAGTTGGAAATTTGATTCAAAAGGAGTCTGCGGTGACGACCCACATGGAGATAACTGGGCTAAAGCTTATGGCAAATACGGCAGCAGCTGCTTTAATATTAAATCCTACAGTGGAGTGTTGTCAATCATATTCTGTTGGAAGTGAAAGCCATGCAGATGTTAGTCATCTACAGCACCAAATTACAGTATCTGCTGAGGTAAAGGAGAATCAAGTTGGAGCTGCCCTTGTCTCAGAAATGGTTATTGAATGTGAGAGTAATTGGGTCTTGAAGGAAAGCCATAATCAGGCAAGAAAGGAAGATGAATTCATGTTAGCTGTGGATTTTGAGTGTGGGAAGGAATCTGCATCTATGAAGACTAGTTATGCTGAAATAGGTTCACCAATGGTCATCAAGGTTGATGATGATATTCGTGGTATGTCTAGAATAAACAAGCCATGTCCATCTATAAAGCCAGTGCAAAACACAGTTTCTGTTGCAATGGATATTGCTTGCGAGAATGACAAGTCTGATCCAAAACTACCTGCTGAGATTGTTGATCAGTTGCCAGAGGAGAATAAAACATGGGTAACAAGCAACCAGAATGCTTTGGAATTGAGTAGTTTCCCTCTCTGGGGTTGCTCATCAATTTGTGGAAAGAGACAGGAGATGGAAGATGCTATTGCTATTAAGCCTCAACTTTTACAAGTTCCTTCACAGATTTTAATGAGTCATCATGTGAATGAAAACAAAAGACACTCACTTGCCCACTTTTTTGGGGTTTATGATGGACATGGGGGAATACAGGTATGCCTTAAAAATACTCTATCAAATTATACTGTTGAAGTTAATTTGTTTCTCTGATAGGGTGCTGTTTTCATAGGTTGCTAATTACTGCCAGCAACGTCTTCATTCAGTGTTGATTGAGGAGATAAATGCTACACAATCAAGTTTGGATGAAACAAATGGGAGAGACGATTGGCAGGCCAATTGGAAGAAAGCATTCATCAATTGTTTTCAGAAAGTAGATGATGAGGTTGGAGGAATTGGTGCGGATAATAGTGGAAACAACAGTGATGGATCTGAGTCTAATACTGAACCTGTTGCTCCTGAGACTGCTGGCTCCACTGCAGTGGTTGCCATTTTAAGTCAAACCCACATAGTAGTTGCAAATTGTGGGGATTCAAGAGCTGTTTTGTATCGTGGAAAAGAAGCTATGCCATTATCTGCTGACCACAAAGTAGAGCGTTTCATTCTAATTTCACTCTTTTTGGTGAATTTACATTAGAAGCTGAAGTTATCTCATAGAGGAAACTTAACTTCTGTTTGCAGCCAGATAGAGATGACGAGCGAGCAAGGATAGAAGCTGCAGGAGGAAGAGTCATACATTGGAAAGGATATCGAGTACTTGGTGTCTTGGCAATGTCAAGGTCCATAGGTATGTGATTGCTGCATAATCTCCTGAACATGATTTGTTTTCCTGTAACTTGATATTATGCGGTTGCATGTTGCTGCTAAGAGTTTAGTGTTTGTTTAAGGGGTTGAACATTTTTGTGATATGAATCAAATGGTTTAGCTGCACTTTTTCAGTTCTGCATCTCTACTTTTACAATATTTATCTGAAATTTGTGCTGAAGTTGGATACCGAGGACAAACATTGTTTTCTGCACGTCATTATTGTACTTATGTTTTAAGTTTCAAGAAAGAAAAATAACTTATTTTCGTAGTTAGTGTTCTTTTAATGGTACATTTTGGGAAGTTTCCTATATCCATGTCCTGAGGACATTAATACACTTCAAATTGATTTCAGTCTACAAGGTTTTCGCTGCATAAATTTCTTATTCAAATAACCATTGTTGTCTAATTTTCTTCTTGTCCAACAGGTGATAGGTACTTGAAACCATGGATAATTCCAGAACCAGAAATCAATATTGTGCATCGAGAGAAGAACGATGAGTGTCTTATTCTAGCAAGTGATGGCTTATGGGATGTAATGACAAATGAAGAGGTCTGTGAGGTTGCAAGGAAGCGAATCCTTCTTTGGCACAAGAAATATGGCGATGACGGATCAACACGACACGGAGAAGGGGCTGATCCTGCAGCTCAGTCTGCTGCAGAATATCTATCTAAACTTGCCGTCCACAGGGGAAGCGAAGATAACATATCTGTAATAGTGATAGACTTAAAGCCTCAAAGAAAAATTAAGAGAAAAGCATAAAATAATTTTTTTTTAGCTTGATTTCCTTTTGGAATATCTTAATTTTATGTTGTTGATTTGTAGTTGTATTTCAGAGTCATTAGCACTTTTTAGCTCGTCAGTTTTTAACCAGGGCTAAGTTATATGCTAAAATTCTCAATGTACAAGGATACCTTCAGCTTGGAGGAGTTATCACTGTGTATCTGTGAGAGCTTTCCAAGCATCATAAAAAAATTATTAAAAAATATTAAGAGCCAATTTTTTGAGTTAGCTGCTCAGATGATCATAACATAGTCTTAAATGTACCTTGGAACCATCCTTAAATTTGATTATTAGTTTATTTCCTAGTAATAAAATCCTACCTTGGAACCATCCTTAAATTTGATTATTAGTTTATTTCCTAGTAATAAAATCCCCAAAATTAATCAGGCAATTTGACGAGTTTTAACCAAATAAAGTCTCAAATATAACTTGAGGGACTGTTCAGCCAGAGTGATTACAGGCATAAATTTTCACGTTCAATTGAGAGAGCCTGGCAAAACTTTATCTCATAATAATTTGTACATCAGATCATATTATCAGCAACTTTGGTAAATCCTAGGGATATGTTTTGTCACAAGTAACCCCTGATAATCTTCTGCATTAAAATTCTTCCAAGTGCCAATCATTGAAATTTCTTGACCTCTGCATCTACATGAGTTTCTCAACAAATTCTAGAACTCAACCATTCATCAACAAAATACAGAATTTTTGACATAACTCTAGGAGCTGTTTCTTCACCTCATCTGCAAATGCTCCCCATATGCAACCGGTGCTCTACAATTAAAAAAGAGGGAATCAAAATTACCGTTAACTCCAACTGTCTAAAAAACTGTACTCAGATTATCCAGAAATATTAGGAGTCATTAGGTTTGAAAAAACATTTTCTATTTTCACTTTTAATTACTGAAATGTCACCATATTTTTACTTTGTTTCCTGTTTTCAGAAGCTTGTATAAGAAACAGTGAAACCAAGATGGTTCTGAGAGAGCACACCATATCATTTGTAATTCATGTAATCATATCTGAAAATGGATGATATTTCCTTTAAGCTTTCATCATCACTAGGGATCATATTAATTGGGCAGGGAAAAGAAGAACCGCAAAATATTACCATCATTATCATTTACAGAACAACAAACAACTTCCTCAATATAGAAGAAAAAATTCTCCTGCTTATGACCAATCAATGCATTATATTCATATAGTGATCAACATTCGAGACCACCATAAAGAATGAAAAAGAACAAAAGAATAACCTTTTACTTAAGTTTTTAATAGAGTTGAAGACTAGAACAAACCAACTTTTATAAGGTTGCAAGAGGAGATCCTGCATTGGAGAAGTAAGCTGAAAGATCCACATCCAAGTCATCATACATGCCGATAAATGGATGTCTCTGGAGTTTCAATCAGATATATAGCATCAGAAAAACATTATTGTACATGGTATATGAACATAAACTAGATTTACACATACCATTAGTTCCTGAGCCGATAGTCGATCCTTTGGGTCTTTCTGTAGACTAAAGGAAGAGAAGATTCAAAAAGGAAGATCAGTAAACACAAAAAACACATCGTAACATAGAAGTATGTCAAAACAGCCAACTGAATAGCGATGGGAGGAGCCAAGTTTTTATACATGTTTAAACCCACATGAAGGCTTGTTCAATGAAATTATAGAAGATATCTTAAAAAATTAAATGTGAGTGCATGTGAAAAGAAGGGTTCATGCATGTAGGTAGGGCAAGTGAATTACACTTCTACTATTTTTTATCAACAAAAACACACTGCAAAATAAAGGCTAGCACATTTAACAATTACCATGCTGAGATAAATGAGCAAAATTCTGTAGAAAATTGTTCAGATGGAGCACTAGGAGGAGGTTGATCAACAATCGTTTCAATAAGCTCGAATATGCTTTCCCATCTTTCACTTTGATCAGGTGGTGCATATGGAAACCGCCCCACAGCACACTCAAGCAATACTAGTCCCAAACTCCATATATCACTTTTGTAGTTGTAGCCTCGCTGACTTCCATTAATTCTCTCTGGCTGTAAAATTGACAGAGCGAATGTTATTTTCTAGGTAACACTGGTAAATTTTGGAGGTAAAATGATAAATAATTGCACACTTTACTCACAGACATATAATTGTATGTGCCAATGAAAGTATTTGCTTGACCAGATGTACTTTCCATAATTGCACTCACACCAAAGTCAGTAATCTTTACTTCACCTATATGATTTATTAACAAATTAGAAGGTTTTAAGTCTCTGTGGATAATATGCTGTTCATGGTGAAGATACATTAAACCCTTCAGCACCTACATCGTTAAGAAAAGATAAAAAGAAAGGGATCAGATTTTGTTTGGGATTCTGTGAAAAGAATTATGGGTACCAAGACTGAAGTGTAATTTCTTGCTTCATACCTGCTTACAGATGGCAGCAAGATAAGGCTCAGGAATTGTTTTAACTTTCTTCAGAAGATCAGCTAAGGAACCTCCATCCATGTACTCTAAGATGATTGATATGACACCATTCTCATAGAATGATTGGTAGCAGACAACAACGTAAGGACATTGTGCTTGTTGATTAATTTTCAGCTCTTGTGCAATCTGCTTGCGCATAGACTCCTCGATATTCATCTGAATTACCTGAGTTGTGAAGAATATATACATGAGTGACAATAGAATGAAGAGAAATGGATTTATATGATAGCATTAAGGTTGTGAATATATCAGAATAACTGGAAAGTATTTGTTTTGTTAGTTAAGTACACATTAGGAAAATCATGATAGAGAAGTAGCACCCTTCAAACTAAACTAATATACTAGATTGTTCAACAAGCAAGCACACAAAGAAACAATTGAAACTTAAAATTGTTAAAAGCGTGGGGAAACATTAGTTACACCATCAATGAAAAATAAAAAAGGAATGATCAAAGACTGAAATTTTCAATAATGAGAAGGGGGAGGGGGAGTTGAAAACATTAGTCCAGATGTCATCTGAGTAGGACCATAACATGCTTTAGTCTCATTCAATGATTGATTGATATATACAAGTTCCTATGGAAGAGACCCACATTTCAATCATTATGTTAAGTTAAACAAAGGTCCAAAGTTGGGTGAACAAAAATATGATGTTCTGACATAACAAAGAAACCACCTGCAACAATATTAACAATGAACTATTTACTTTTTGAATGAAATTGAATTGCTCCTAATGATATTAATCATTAAATATTGGTTGAAAAAACAGCATGCCTTCGTGTGACACATTTCAAATGTCCTTGCTTAATGAAAAGGATGAAATGGGGAGCGGCATTACTTTAAAAGCATGCAATGTGGGTAGACAATGCCAATACAAAAGGATAAATTAACTAGAGGTGAGAGAACAGAATATGCAAATCCAAACCAAAGTATGCAATATGCAGCAAGCATACCTTCAATGCAAAAAACTGGCTAGTCCATTTGTGTTGTACCAATTGGACTACTCCTCCATTTCCCTTACCAACAACTTTGATTACATCTATGTCTGCCAAACTTAACTGGTTGTCTGTTGGCTTGATTGGAGGTGGCTGAAAACATAACACAGATGTTAAACCAATGTACAAATTTTGTTCAGAAATTGATGAATTCAGCCAGAATTAGCACTCCGACCAAATCATAAAAGAAAATGCATGAAGATCAACATTCAAGCCTCCCTGGTCCCTGCTCTTTTTATACCATAAACCACCAGTTGCAATTTCCAGCTGAGTATAACTAAACATATGTGGAGTTTAACAGAAACAAATTTAAATTGAGTCACTTATAAATCTGAGTCTTCATTTAACGTGGCCATGTATTTACCATCAACTTATTCTGTTTAATAAAATGCATTGACCATACAAGGGTATGCACAAGAAAATTTCCAATATCATTAGTCAGACTGATTTTTCCCCCGTGACTGACAGTGTCATACATCAGAAATTGATGAAAGCATTGAAACAAGGAGTTCCTTAGCAGTCTCCCTGAGCCCCCGCCCAAATAGCAAAAATAAGAAGATGGAGGAAGGAAGAAGAGGATCCAACATTAACTCAAAATGTAAACAATTTTATGCAACAAACTTTGTTTGAGGGTAAAAAATTTTAATCTTTGGATAGAATTGAAATGAATTTAAATACTCAGTTTCTTTAGTAGCCATGAAGGGAATGACGTATGCTGAACACACTTCCACTTCATAAACTTGTTCTCCATTTGTTTAAAGACACAACACAAATAAGATGAGGAATTCAAAGAGACACTAACTTCATTAACAACATCTGGTTCCATTTAAAACAGCAGCAAAGACTAGGAAAAGTAAAACTAGGCTCAAACCCCCACCTCACCCTTTGCCATTTATAGTTTACAAAGATGAGAAGGGCTAAGTAAAATTAGGCTCCAACAAATAATCCATCGAATTTAAAAATAAACAAGTAACACTCCATTTGTGTTTGGAAAACTCAGAATAAGGAAACTACAGAAAAATCAGGAATCCCTTCTTATCACACTAGTCATTTCATCAGATCCAAAGATCAAATGCAACAAAAGATACAATTGAGTAACCCGATTGGATATAGATTTAAACAAAAAGAAGAAGAAAGCTGCAAAGTAAAAAATGTATAGAAAATGGAGAGAATCATGTTACAGCTTCGACTTCACTCTGAGAGACAATTCGAACCCCATCCCTATTAACAAGCAGATCGCCATCCTTAAACGTCCCACTTTCAGTCCTACAACACAGCCAATTGGTCAAAACCCAAACCTAATCAATCAATCACATTCACACACAAATAAAGAGAGAGAGAGAGAGTGTGTCTCACAAGAACTTGGCAAAATTAGCTTGATCAGATGCAGGAACTGAGAGTTTGAGACTGGGCCCCAAGTTTCCTTTCTTCATGATTATGGGCTTCACCTCACAACCCCTCACTCACTAGGTTTTCAAACTAAACCAAGACTCTCTCTCTCTCTCTCTCTGTATATAAGAATTAAGATCAAAACATAGTACAGTGTATGGTAGGAGAACTATTTAAGTTAAAAATGATAGCTTTATCACTGAAAATTACAAATTTTGTGATTGGCTGACAGAGAGAGCAGTCACCATTGACGAACTGAGGATGGAAAGATGCAGCTTTGAAGATGCAGCTCTTGTTGACTTTTCAGACTCCAAGGCCCCTTCACCTCGGGCCCACACATTTAACGTTTTGTTACATCATTATTTTTCGAAGTTTTAACTAATAAATTTTAACAGAATGATTGAATTATAAATTAAACTATTTTTAATATTTAAAAAAATCAAATTAAACAACTAAGATATTAATTTGAAGTTTTATTCCATAAAAATACTAGTATATGACGATACGATAACTAAGTTGCATGAAAAGTAAAAAGCTCATTACCCATACATACAATTGTTAGATAGTGGTGTTTGTGGAGTTGTATGTGAATGTTAAATAGTATAGTCACTATATAATTGTGGTGGGTATAGCACGGTTCTGAAGATACTTGACAATGTATTGTTGCTGCCGTTTTGTTTTTTAGGGAGTGATTGCTGCCTAGTGCCTAACCCTTTATCTAATATGCACTGTCATTTTCTTTCTTCTTTCTAAATTTTAAAAGTTTCTTTGCCGTCTCTTTTAAGATTCTTTTTTAGCTACTTTTTCTATTTACAAGAAGATAAAGCAAGCTACCCTATTGACATTAACAAGGAGAGCAAGTTACCAAGTTTTATTTTTCTCTTCTCTCCCTCTCTTTGTGACATTAATGTGACCCAGATATCATGTTTAAAAGCTTATGGAATGAAGAGGAAATTCCCCCTATGAATTCCTTGCTGTGAGATAGAGTGCAGTTGCCTGATACATACAAGAATTAGTGGTGTATATATCTTATTTGTCTTTTAACTAGAAGTAAACTGATAATTTAATATCAAGGTGAAGTTGTCCATTCAATATGCTACGTTTAGAGATAAATCGGATTAAGAATATTGAATTTTTATTATATTATTTTGAGAACAAATACCAACAATGCCTTCACTGTTCCATGCGTTCAACGTTCAATTAATGACATGTGTAATTAAACGCATGGCATTAATGACCTAATGTATGACAAAAAGCCATTGCCAGCATTAGATAACTATGAACTCCAGCCAAATGAACTAAGAATTATAGGAATTGGTGGATATTGTTATCATTGACCCCCACACAAAAAAACACGTTTCACACCTGCGCTAGCTTCAATGTGGCTATCTTAAACAAAAATCATTTTTCATGGCTCATTTCTAGTCAAATTTCATGACTACAAAAGGACTCGAGAAATACGTGGTTGGAGAAAAGTTTGAGAAACAAATCATGATTAAAATATTGTGATAATGATATTTATATATCTACAAATAACAACAAAATTTTATTTCATGAAGTGTGGTTGGATTTATATTTCTAGCTATCGTACTTTAATTAAATTTTTTTATCTCTCATTTCATGTCCTATATTTAAAATACGAGGCGTATGAGTATATTGAGTAATATATTTTCTTAAGATATTATATATTTTGAAAGACTTTAGTTCTAATGATATGCAAGTTCATATACATGTAAATATTAGCCCGTCAATCATTATCATTGCTACCTGGCTGGAATGGGCCTACGAGTGTGAATCTGCAATCAATTAGAGAATCAAAATATCATGCTGTTAGAAGTTAAACAAATAAATGCTAAAGAGAAAGAGGCTAAAGAGAAAGAGGGTGTTTCTGCAATTGCATCAATAAGGTCCCCCACCAAATATTAGTAGCCAGCATTTTTTGTTGGCATAGCTAACAACATTTTGTCCCTCTCAGATAGTATAACTACCCTTAATACCACATCCACTATATCTGAAGAAAGTATTCAAAAGCCCATTAGTCCCGGTCAAAGCATAATAATTGACATCAGTAAAAAAGAACTAAAAGATATTCAAGCTTCTATCCGTTTGAAAGATTACATTCGCTATTAGCTATGTGTAAGACTATTTTTAATAATAGGACCAATTCTGTTATTTTGTATAAAGTTTAATGATTTAAAATTTTCTTTTAAGTTATTGCTTTTTTGTTATAGTATATATTAGACACTCTTATAGTAGCTATCGAGGTATGCAAAAATAAATTAAAAATATTCTCTCTCACTATTTTTTCACTTTCCTCTATACACCCCTTTCATGCAACTCCACACACAATCTTTCAACTTGATTCACAACAGATTAAAATGAACTAAATTTATATATTTCATTACTCTAATCAGTGTTGTGTTAATGTAGCAAAAAACTAATAATTTAAAAAACTGTATTGTATCTTGCCAAGTGAAAACAAAGGAAGTAACATGCATATTGATGAGATTTTAACATATATATTACTATTTTACTCATGATATTGTGATATAAAATATGTTAATGTTATCATGGGAAATGGAAAATAATAATCCATTGGCCTATATATAGTATATTCAAGGTTAACTCAGTTCACAACAGATTAAAATAAACTGAATTTATTTATTTTATTACTCTAGTCAGTGTTGTGTTAATGTAACAAAAAACTAATAATTTAAAGAATTGTATTGTATCTTGCCAAGTGAAAACAAAGGAAGTAACATGCATATCACTACTTCACTCATGATACTGTGATATAAAAGATGTTAATGTTATCATGGGAAATGAAAAATAATAATTCATTGGCCTATATATAGCATATTCAAGGAAATAAAATGAAAAAAAAAAAATCTGATGAAAGGGCTCGAAACTGAATTCTAGGGTGACAACTGAATAACCTAACCAACTGTACTACAAAGAATTTTCTACTTACATATAGCTAAAAATAAAAATAACAATGTTATATCATCAGCAGAGGTATTAACACTTGTCAAAGTTGCCCTGTGGTAGGTGGCACTTTGTAGACGTGGATAATATTCCATTAGTATTAAGTTTATATGGTTTGAGATTTCTTTTTATGAAAGTTGCATGATTTTAAAAGTTTAGTTAAAAAAAAAAAATCAAGAAAAGTAGACAATTCATGACGGTGTTATATAATTTTCATGAAATTATTTGTTACTGTTTTATTTTTTTTACTTGAAAAATTGTAAAAAATAAAAATAAACAAGCTCTGAGTTTCTTATTATTTAGGATTATTTTTGTACATGTAAAACAAAATACTTTGGTTTGAAAGGGTAATGAAATTTTTTATAGTAGTTCCGAAGTATATAAAGGAATATACGAGTTAGCATAAATTACTGAGGTATAGCATTTTTATAAGAAAAAAAAATCAACTGTAACTAATATTCGGCAACGTAAAATTGTTCCATTAAGGTATTTCACATATTATTATAAAGTTTTTTATACTATTAATTAGTGATACACAACGTTATGAAATGTTAAAGCTTTACACTAATAATACATTAAACTCCAATTATTTAGTTTTGCATAGCATCGATCACCCTTGGCTATGATTGATGGAGTCAAGAGCTGACATTGCAAAATATTAAGTTAATTACTAGTATTTTCTTTTTATTTCTTCAAGGGAGACAAGAAGAAAGTTCAACAATGAGAAAGAAAACCGTTTCTAAACTTGCTTCTGATTAAACGTTTAGCAATAAATATTACATTGACATTTTTCTTTTATCGTACACATGTGATTGAAAATTATTTTATTTTACATCATTATTTTGACAAGATTGTAAATTTACATCAAAACAGAGAAGACTTATCAAGAAGAATATTAATGTGATCAATTCGGTTGTTTGATTTATAAATTAAGCATGTTAAGACCCTGTTTCACCTATATACAAGTTATTAATACATTCTTTGTAATACACCTTTTATTATTAGTTAAAATCTATTAAAAACTATAAAAATTATATAAATATTACTCTTTTTTACTCCTAAATTAATGTTTTTATCTTATGCTTTATTAATTTATAATAAGTTTTAATTAATAATTAAAAATATATTAGGTAGAATATTTGCTAATATTCCTTTACTAACTTATTATCACAATGTCTTTTAATAGAGATATAAACATTCATATATTTAATTTAATAAAATACATGTTGCAGTCAACAACCTATATTTATATGTTATTTTTTTTTATATAAATTAGATTCCAATAATTTTCATAGTAACATGGTTCCCTTGTTTGATGATGCATTCACACAATGACACTTTATTTATTACTGACTTAAATAAAATTTGGTCAAGTATAAAGTTTGAAATTTTTTTAAAATTACCCCTAAAATATTTTTTATTACTGTTTAATTTTTAAGACGTGAAATTTTGATCCCTATCAAGATTAAATATTAATAAATTATTTCATAAAATGTTAAGAAACTAATTTTGACTTCCTTTAAAATGTTAATAATTAAATACTAATAAGTTTTTTTCTTATAAAGATCAATTTCAAATGTTACTTATAATAATAAAAAAACTTCTCTAAGCTTTTAATACTTCAATAAATGAATGGCACACTTGTTTTAAACTTCGTAACTCAATATTAGGTAACACATTCACACCTTTCTTTCAAAAGAAACTTTTCAAATTTGAATTTACAAAAATTACGAGATAAATTTAATAGTTGGAATTTTAAAAACATGAATTACAATTGACATTGTATAAAAAAGAAAAATATTTCCACAAAAATTACGTTGGAACAAAAATAAGCAAACTTTAGGCTTTGCCCAAATACGGTCACTGCCGGCGGCTATCGACCATTCAATTTTAATTTTCTTTCAAAGGAATGTTTAATATCATTTGTTAATTTTTATAAATTAAAATTCGTATAAAAATATGATGCGAAGGTAAATAATGCTAAAATGATTTCATAACTACTAAGCAACAACCAGCGGCGGACCAATCAAAACACATTATTATGCAAAAAAAACTAACAGTCAAATTAGGGAATTAATAGTCCATTACTGTTTTGTTCAATTATTTTTCTTTTTTTTAGATTGAAGAGTTTGGATTCAAGAAAAGACTAGATAAAATGACTTGAAAGCAGCCAAGGAATCTGCATAGTAACTGAAATTTCACCATTTGAAAAAAAAAAATTAAGTAATATGGGCTGTCTTATTTTTTTAAAATGTACTTTTTGTTGAATTTTTTAAAATAACAACTGATAAGTGATTTCAAAATGTAATTTTAATATTTTTATAAAAATCAACTGGAATGTTGATTTTTTTTTCTATTATTCACCAATAAATTATCATATAAAAATTATTAATTTGAAAGTATACCTATATATATTTTAATTACTTCACTTTATCAAATCATTTCAATACATAAAATTTATTTTTTTATAAATTAAAAGGTAGTTTTAAAAATAAAATGTTGACGAGTAGAAAAGGATTTTTAACCCCTTGCTATTGCAATTACATTTGTTTTTCTTCCTTTTCAATCGAATTTCCTATTCGTTTTAACTTCCTTTACCCAAGACCTAGAAGACAGAAACAGACACAAAACAAAGTCAAATCTATTGAGCTTTCAGTTGTTTAATGTTGAAGTGTCTTGCGCCAAGAACAGATAAATTAGAAAAGAAGCAGCAATTGCTTTTCTTGTTGAACACCTATCAAATGCGAAGATCCTCTCTTTTCTAATTAATTCCACTTCCTTCTCTCTGATCGGTGCCACTCCTTCTTGTGCTTCAAAGCCCGGTATCTCTTTAATTTTCTCACTTTTCTGTTGTTTTTAATTCCCTCTTTCTTTTTTTCTACATGGGTATTCTAGTTTTTCCTTCAGATGCGAAAAAAAGTTTCTTTCTTTCTTTCTTTCTTTCCTTTTGTTTTCTTTTTCTTTTTCTTGTTTGGTTGATCCTTTTTGTTCTTGATGGTTGCGGTAGATTCAGGGATTTTCGTTTCTTTTGGTTGGTGCCCATTTCATTGGCATGCTCTTATATGAATTGTGCAATCCAAGCTGCATGTGATAGAATTTCTATGCGTTTTATGTGAGCTGAAGTTCTGAATTGAGGATGCTCTCGTTAGTTTTATGCTGAGGTTTTCCACTGTGGATATCATCCAAATAGTGTACAATGCAGGATTAGTATCTTAATTAACAAGCTTCGGGTTTAACAGTTTAATTGATTAATCTAACAATCAAATTGAAAAGCCTCCTGCTTCTGCCGAGGGCCAAGAACAAAGGTTGTTTATGTAACATAGTAGTGTATTGTAATTTTGATGCAGTCAGAAGGATAAATAGAATTTCCCAATTTCTCAGAATAACTGAAAACCTGAAAAAGATTATGTATGATTTTTGTGAAAACATAAGATATTTCTCAGAATATGGGAGGCCTTGTTTCCCTGTTCTGACATGCGAGTGACTACAGGTCTACACATGCATATTTTTTGAAATATTCTGAAGATTTCTGAGCTTCAAAGTCGTCAAAACTCAAACCAATATGACCTTACTTTGCAAGTTACATATTTTTTTGTTTATCTGCTTCTAAGTGGAACCATGCTGGTCTCACCAATCATTTTGTTCTAACATATTGTATTTTGTTGAACAGGGATTTTGAGTGTTATTTGCACAGCTGGAGGCTTGACGTGCAAACGCACTCCACAATCCATGGATAAAGGTACTTAAACAATTACTTCCTATGGGTATAAATACAATTGCATATTCTTAGATTGTAAATGTTGCTTGATTATTTATCTCCTCTTTGCAATAAACACGACGTCCTGCCATGTTTTGTCTGTTCTGACACAAATACTGATCCTTGTAAGATATCATATAAATCAGTACTAGAATTTATCCAAACAATATTTATTCAATGATATGATTGTTAGAGTTGGTGTAGTGTGGCACACGAGAAATTTGAATTTTGAACAACACTTGGTCTACATGATTTCAAGCCTTATTACATAGTTTATCATTGTTTGGATAATTGAGCTATTAGGTTTCAAGTTTCTAGAAGTTGCAGTTTGAAATTAAATAAAAGCCAAGAATAAACGGCCAAAAGAACAGAAGAATTGCAACATATTATTTGTTCCTTGTGGCCAAATTGTGAGGATTGATCTCCATCTAATAAATTTTCATGGGAAGGAACGTATCCATGAAAATTAGATGTTTAAGGTAGATGGTAGTCCCTGAGTTTTCACCAATTTGGGTTTTAGTCATAATGGTATCTCTTTTAGGTTTTAGTTCATATGTGTTTGGTCATTTGGGTTGTCCACTCACTGGGGTTTAGACCCTCTAGATTTCTACTTATTATTTATTAAGGTATTGATCCCTACGTTTTATGATGGATTGACCCTTTATAGTTCTAACTTAATAAGGTACCAGCTGTTAAGAGACCAAAACCCGTCATAGGAATATATAAGGACCATATCCTCATAAAGAATATATAGATATTATCATGCTTAAACCTGTTTGCATATGAGGACTAAAATCAAAATAAAATTATCAAGGAAAGCATGACTGTCCATAGGAACAAGCCTTCGTCACCTGTACTTTGCATGTTAATCTACTTGTAGACTTTCCACTGTTAGAATATATCTAGGGCCATTTGAAACTCAAGAAGAAACAATGCAACTCAACGAACTTGCCTGCCATGAAATGAGATTTTCCTGGTATTCGCAGATCTGAGGGTGGAAGAGGCTGTTGATTTGCGAAACAAAGTGGAGTTAGTGAGATCAGCCTCTGATAAGCATCATGAACTTTTAAGGCCATCAGCTCGAAACTATTCAAGAGGTAACAATATTAATGATATGTCGGTATACCTGGCAAAATATATATTTTGTATTTATTTACTAGTATTCACTTATTTTCATGATTTTACTATTTTCAAACCTTATCATCAAATTGGATCTGTTGGAACACTAGGATTAGTATGCTGATGGCTCCAATGGACTTGTATCATCCTCCATTATTTTTTTAATTAGGGAGGGGATGCAGCTAAGGATATCTGTGACTGAATAATATATCTTACTACAGTACATTTATTGTCCAAAATGCAACAAATTTGGCAGTTATTTTTTTGTCTGTGTTGCCTTTTCCATTTTCCTTTGCAACTTTTACTTCATAAAGAACCAGCTCCTCTTTGTAATTGATGAATGAAACTGTCTGTTTTCTGCATCACATTTTTCGTGACACTTAATTCCTATTTCTATTATATTGATATTGATAAATCCCTTGAACCCCTTACCGTTTTTCCTTGGAGTTTGATCTCTGGCCCAATTGTCCATTTACCACCATTTAGAGAGCAGACTCTGCTATGTACTATATGCTATGACAAATATACATATATGTTTTGGCTAAGCAGCTCCTCCTCCTTGAAAAAAAAGATCTTTAACACACTCTTAGATATTGGCTAATATTTATTGAAAGTTAACAAAGTATGAGAGAGAAAACATGATACCCACATAATTTTTGTAATTTTTAATAAATTTTAGATAATAAACAAGAGTGTGCTGTTAGTATTTCTCATGTGCGATATTTACTTGTTAAAGACAGCTGTACAAATCTATTTCATTTTTCACTGTTATCTCGTCATCTCAATGTGTCCCAACTCCCCAATGAAATATTAACAATTTTTATGGCCATGGCAGGACAAGCAATAGATGCAACAGGGCATGGAAAGGGAAAGTATGCCTTAATTAGAGACCCAGAGGATTTCCCAATGGGAATTTATGACAAGCCCCTTCCATGTTTTGGATGTGGGATCGGATGGTTCTCGTAAGTAATTATAATCAACTTTCTCCCCCTATATCCTCATCTTGTCTCATGGCTTTGCTTGTTAAATTGCAGATTTCTTTTTGGTTTTCTATGCCCTCCTATGTGGTACTATGCTACAATTCTCTATTTTGGAAATCACTATCGAAAGGACCCTAGGGAGCGAGCAGGGTTGGGAGCCTCTGCAATCGCTGTAATCTCTTCTGTTTCTCTCAGCTCTCTTTCTGTCTATTTTGTTTTGTGTTTGTGTGTCTGTTTGCTCGTGCATACTTTAGCAGATGTTAACGGCAACATTGTGCACTGGAATAAATTTAGCTGTAAATACGATTGGTTTAACCAAGGCCGGTACTTACTACTTAGCTCAGGTTGGATCGAACTAAAATAAACAAGAAACCATTAGAAACTCCAGTTTACAGTCCAAGCTTCTTTTGTGGATCAAACACACTTATGAACATTAATTACATTCCCTTTGGTCTCAAATATAAGAAAATTTTAAATATGGTTTAGTGGTTAAAATATAAGTAAATCTTAAATAATTTCACATTATTTAATAAAATTATCTCTAAAATACTCTTATTCAATTCAAATTTTATTTTTAATGACTTTTTTTTTTAATTTTTGAAATATGAGTTAATTTCATACACCTTTTAAACTAGAAAGAAATCTCTTTGAAACTAGTTACCAAAATTTAATTCTCTTCTATTAAGATATTAAATGACTTCTTAATTTTCACAGTTTTGACGTTGCCATTTAGGAATATTACATAAGATTAATTAATTTTTTAATTAGCATAATTTAGTTATTCTTTTGCTTTATTTGACACCAGAGGAATAATATATTAACAAGCCAAATGACTAACTTGATCAAGCAGAATGAGCTTCAACAGTTATAAATATTGAGGATTGTTCTCCAACTATTTTGATTATTCTTGCCATTTAAATTTATTTTCTGATTACAGATTTTGCAAATTGTTGTATTTCACTTGGCTTCAGTGATGTCTTTTTTTTATTGTGGCTTCTGTAATGTCTAAATTGACATGGTGATCAACTTGCAGGCATTACTGTGCTCAGTAGCGTTGCTGATAATTGCAGTAATTCTTCTGTTGAAATTACGGTCTCTCTATTTCTAATTCAAGTGCAAAGGTGAAATTTGAGAAGAAAAAAAATTCGGAAGCAATTCTGATGGGATATCAGAAACTATTGGACATATGTATATAAAAACTTCAAATAGGTGGGAAAAATCTTGCACATTGTTGAAGTAATTCACAGCAAGAAATCTGTCGGCTATGTACCACAAGTTGAGAGAATGATGATACGTCATATCCCTTATTTGATTATTTTCTGAACTGGTGTATACTCAAAGAAATATTGTGAGTGTTTATAATTCTCCCAAAATCACTATTAATTTTTTATAGCTCTTTGGATGCTGAAGTGCATGTTCGTCTAGACAAGAAAAGTGCAACGCTCAAAGGAATAAGTAAATTGTTGTGCTTAAATTACATTTTTGGTCAGTTTCTATTAAAAAAAATTCTAGAAAAACGCAGAACACAAGCATGCACATTACATCCCTCGTATTAAAAAAAACAAATTTATATAACTTTATAGCTAAAATTTTAGCAAATGTTGCTAATGTGATGAACACAACCTTCACTTACAAAATCACGTATAGTTCTGACTCTTGCACAATATTGATTCATTTTACGGCACTAACTAGTCTCAAACCCAATAACATGAAACCAGCTTGTCATTTAATTGGAAGGAACTAGGAAGGCGGGGAAATTACCACCCTTGAAAACTAATTTTGAACAAATGTTCATCCTACCCTTCTCGTTTATTATATACATAGGAAATATCATATTACAGACGCTAGAGATGTGTCGAATACAATAATTTAAATGGAACTCCCTCAACTTAAAAGTACATAATGATTTTGTTTACTAAGAAAAAGTACACCTTGATTGATAAACTCATCATAGCGTTCATATAGGAGAGCAAGGTCACGTTTAAGAACACGCATGTTTCGCAAATTCTACAATTGCTTATGACTCAACATTATAACCACACAAATTTCTCTGCCTCGATGTTTTCTTTGGTTTTTCTGCAAGATGATAATAATTGAATATTTGCACAAAGCAACAGTACCGTATTCTCGTTCACAAAATTTTTCTATAAGGAGATTTAATTTTTTTATGAATGAATGTCTACCAAACCACAATAGAATCACGAAAATTTCCATGGAGCTCAATCTTTGGCCAGCAAACGCACATACTTGTTCTCAATTGCAAATCTGGAGCTGGAATTGATCTGTCACACAAATCTTTCGTAAGGAAACTTATTTTTGTTCATAATTATGTCTACCGTATAAATAAACAGATACACAATCCATTAGATGGACTTACCTTCTTCTCAAGCGCCTCACTAAATTCAGCTTCATCCACTACAATTCCAGACTCCTGCAGTTCTTTGAGGACAACTTTTCTCAGTTTCTTCATCTTCAAAATTCCATCAGGATGCTGCCACAAGCATAAAAATAACAACATTCAGGTGCAGCAGGGAAATTAGATGTAGAGACCAACACTCAAACACACATTTTTAGCAAGTTCATTATAGATGCCGTCACAGCTCTAGTTAAGCTCATCTTAAAATTCATTGATTCTATATGACTGCTCTATGCACATTGTATACAGAAAAGATCAGTATAACATAACAGATAAATTAAGCACAAAACAAGGAACGATTTCATTCTATAATCCAAAACACATACAGATTTCAAGGCTGACTTGATAAACTTCTTCCATTTTATTTTGTTTTTGACAGCACTAGTACAGTGAGATTCCACTATGCCTTCTTTCTTCAAGTTGCTCTCTCCAGTTGCTTCACCCTGAATTACTTCCCCATTTCCCATGTCAACTGAAGTGTCATTCTTGCCTTGTTTAATAAGGTCATCCTCCAACGCTTCAAGCTTTCTCTTTTTCTTTGCTGAAGAAATTTCATTCCCTGTGTTTGAGTTATTTTGTTTAGAAGACTCGTGCAATTTTGGCAGCTCCCCAATTTTGTCATTATTAGGAGTCCCCACAGCAACCTTTGCATCAGGGGCAGATTTGTCTGTCCGGGAAGGCTGTTGATTTGCAGCATGAAACGCTCGGGCCTTTGCCCTGTGTTTCTTTCCATCAGCATGGAGAAGAAGTGTTTGCTTACTTGTAGCTTTTGTATTGCAAAGACTGCAAAGCCACAGAAAAGTGTAACAAGTCAGACAAAATCATAAAGGTGACACAATCTTTAAAAAAAAACTCTTTCTAGCTGAAAATGCTGGGCACAATGGCCAATCACAATGAATCTCCTTCTAATACTAACATACTTTTTAAAGAGTGTCTCAAACTCTCAGATAATACGCTACTTTTGGCAGTTGACACTCAAATTTGTATAAGTTATCAATCTTATATGTTTTGAAAGGAAAAGAAGAAAGAGACAGCAATGTGCAGGCAGTGCAACATATTCACATGAAGTAGATGACACCAATAAAACTGAAAAATATTCTCTGAACTTTAAGAGCATGCATTTTCACAAGATTTATAACAAACAATGCTCACAGGCTATAAATAAGTTAACATTAATATCATTAACAACTGCAAGCATCCTCTTAAACAGAACTATACTTCAAGAATCCACTTGTTTTAAAAAATTAAGGTTATGATATTACATTAAACATATACATCAAACCTTCCCCCCTAGCATACTTCAACAAAAACAGAAGGCACATGATTCACATTCAACTAGTGCACTGGAACTTTCTACAATAGGCTCACCTAAGTTTTATATCCACTATTTACATTACATGGAGATAAAAGGTTTGAACTTCAACCTTAATGATCCTATCAGAACAGAGTATGCAGGCCATGATAAATGTTTTACTCTTATAATCTTTAAAACACATAACAATAACACAGCACCTCAATTTCCATTTGCTCTCTAACATAAATACACCATCTACGAATGACTCTGACCACTACCATGACACTAGAAAGATTGTCAAGCAGAGTATATACCTGCAGAACCATGGAGGATGCTCAGATAACCCCACATTAATATCAACTTCAGCTCTTTGCTTGTTATCCTGGTTAGGCTTGGCAGTTGCAACGTTCAAAGTTTTCCCTTGGCCCTTAGGACCATACTTTTCCTGGTAAACAAAGTAAGCATAGGTAGCAGGGAAAATGAGATTGCTAATATATATTTTAAAAACTTATATTAAAATTGGAATGCTGACAAAAATAAAAGTAAACCAACAAATACAATGTAATTATATACAAAGTGAGAAATCATATCAGATACTTGTTTTGCACATTAGTAGAAATAGAGAGCCACCCATCTTCACAAAATAAACGTCGTCGTGTATAAACGGAAGAAAGTGATTAAGCATGCATCATTCAGAAATAACAATGAATAGCGAGAATGAGAGACACACCGCTTCCGTAATACACTGTGTGTGATCTTGAACGGTATCACGCCCAAATATTTCCCCGCAGTCAATGCACGACAACTGCGCAACAGAAACAAAAAATGAGGAATGGCATCAAAATGTGAATGAGAAATAACTATTAGCTAGCGGAGTTGAATGAGAACTTTGTGAGCGGAGCAAGTTCGGAAGTGGCTGGCCAACTTAGGCTTTTTGAGGTTGTCTCCACAAACTTCACATTGAAACCAAACCATGTCTGAGTTTTAACTTTCAAGGTCACAACGTTGCTTCTGTTCTGCAATTGCCGTTAACCTAATTCTGGGTTTAAGCCTTCACCAGCCGGCTAGGGTTTTTCGATTTGCTCCCAATTTTGGGTGGGTAGGATAATGGGATTATGCTTCTTATTCTACTTATATCTTAAAATTTTAACCTTGGTTATTAATTATCTTTATTTATATTTTATAGATTTCAAAAATAAAAAATAATATTAATTCAACAAAAAAATGTTCTTATTATTATCCTTTGTTCTTTTTAAATCATGTAATCTTTTGAACTATTATATATAATATTAGAAATTCTATTTAAATTTTTTCATGTTCTAAAATTTGTGTTAGTACATATTATTTTAGTGAAGAGTTTTATATTATACATGAGTAAATAAACAAGAGTAAAATAATTGTAATTACAAATATTAAATTAAAAATTGTAATCTATATTATGTATCATTGTTTATTATTTAAAATACCCATTAAACTCGGTAACTTTCTTTTCATGAAAACTCTGAACATTTCATCCTCCTAAAATTTCATATACCAGAACAACAGGCCATACTGTATTAGATCTTCCAAAGCCTAAAAGAACCAACAGATCAACATAAACCTTGGCATTCTCTTAATCTGACAATTATGAATCGTAATAAATGCAAACACAAACCAAATAAGCTATAAATTATTGCTTAAAGCAAAATATGTTGTTATTTTTATCAACAAATAAATGTTACGAGGGAAAGGAGCTATTAGCTAACAATGCAGCATTTCCTTATTCCTTTTTTTGTTTTTGTCTGACTTTCCTTATTCTTAAGAAAAGTCCATGAATGGGCCTAACAGCAAAAAGAGAGAGGCCCATGAAGTGAAGCAGTAGCAGAGTTGAAAACCTGGAGTGCAGCATAAGCGAAGTCCATGCTGCGAAGTGAGGAAAGACTGAAAGAAAGAGCATATAGCAGAGAGAACAATGAAACTGGGTGGAATCAAATCGGTGGAGAACGCGCACGACGATTCGGTGTGGGCGGTCACATGGGTACCCGCAACCGCCACCCGACCACCGCTCCTCCTGACCGGCTCTCTCGACGAAACCGTCCGTCTCTGGAGATCTGACGAACTCGTTTTGGAGCGCACCAACACCGGCCACTGCCTCGGCGTCGCTTCCGTCGCCGCTCACCCCCTCGGCTCCATCGCCGCTTCCTCTTCGCTCGACAGCTTCGTTCGCGTCTTCGATGTCGATTCCAACGCCACCATCGCCACCCTCGAGGCTCCTCCCTCTGAAGTCTGGCAAATGCGTTTCGATCCCAAGGTAATAATCATAATGATAGGGTTTTTCTTCTCTTCACTTTATTCAATTGTTTTAATCAAGCAGGTCTCTTGTTCTTAACATAAACGATTCCTTTCGTTTGGTGCTAATGCTAAATCCCTAAAACAGTGAAACCTGCTATGTATGAAATGCTGGCTTATTATTTTTGCAGACAAGTGATTAGTTATGATGATGTTCAAGATCGTAGAGAATTTTCAGTGTTCGTAATCTTTTTTCTTTCCTCTTTTAGAGATTGATGACATTAGGCTTCGTCAACCCTAAGTGAAAGTTCTGTCTGCTAAGTCAGGGCTCGAAGTATTTACATTCTAAATGATTTCTGCTTTGATTCGTGACATGTGACCAATGATCATTGAAACTTATATAATGTAGTAGTATTTCTAATCAACAGTTAATATTTGCATTCGTGTGCAAATGCTTCTGTGTTTTTGGAGAAAGGTTTTTCCTTCCTACCCAGCCACTTTTTAGGGATATTTTGTGGGTATGGGCTTAATAAGTCTAAAACAAGTAAGAGACTGCCCTTATGTCAAAGCATTCTTTTAACTAATTTTTCTGGCAGAAGAGCTATTTAGTGTGAAGAAATTCGTATGAAAAACAGTTAGGCAGTTTTCTTTTACCAGTCAAGCAAGCATAACAATACATACTGGTTGTAGTGAAAGATTCATTTCCAATGAAATCTCTTCACGTTATATTTGTTTTATTACGTAACTGATTTTTAGTACCGATTATCTTTTCTCCTTTTCTTGTGATAGCCATGGTTTAACAATCGTGGCAAATGTGTTGAAATTGACTCTTTGTTTTTTGTCGCCACTAGTGTGGGCATTTTTGCATGCTAAAAATATACTTCCTCGTTAAAAATGGGGTGATGGCCATGCTTAAGAGCTATTTTGCATGCAAATGTTTGATTTTACAGTCATGTTAAATATTCTTCAAAGCATACCCTTTGCTTAGGGTCATGCACCCTTAAAAATGGGGTGCAAATTTCAAGATGAGTATCATGAGAAAATTCATCCACATTCTTTAAAGGAAGGTTGTATGTAACAAAACTATAAGCAAGAATCTGAGACCCAAAATAGCCCTTTGTTGCATAAAGGGACTTGTTCAATTCCCCAATTCTTGCACTACAAACCACAAACTGTTACCTTGCTTTGTTGACCTCCTGTTACTATGTACCCTTCTATGGAAATTGTACCTGTTCCATTTTGTTTTGCAGTATAGCAGAAAGCATTCATTGCTTTGTCACCTTATGATACTGTTGAAAATGAGCGTTTTATCCAGAGTACTATTTTATCCTTTTAATAATACAGAGTTATTTAATCAACCAATTTCCCTGCCTTCAGGGTGCCATTCTAGCAGTTGCTGGCGGAGGTAGTGCATCAGTCAAGCTTTGGGACACTTCCACGTGGGAACTGGTTGCTACTCTTTCAATTCCTCGTCCAGAAGGTCCCAAACCTACTGACAAAAGCAGCAGCAAGAAATTTGTGCTGTCAGTTGCATGGAGCCCTGATGGAAAACGACTGGCTTGTGGCTCAATGGATGGCACCATTTCTGTTTTTGATGTACCACGTGCCAAATTTTTACATCACCTTGAAGGTCACTTCATGGCTGTGAGATCTCTTGTTTATTCTCCTTATGATCCAAGGCTACTGTTTACAGCTTCAGATGATGGTAACGTCCACATGTATGATGCTGAGGGAAAAGCATTAGTCGGGACCATGTCAGGCCATGCTAGTTGGGTATTGTGTGTGGATGTGAGCCCAGATGGGTCAGCCATTGCCACAGGTTCTAGTGATAGATCTGTAAGGCTATGGGATCTTAGCATGAGGGCATCTGTTCAGACAATGAGCAACCATACAGACCAGGTATGGGGAGTGGCTTTTAGACCACCTGGAGGTAATGACGTGCGAAGTGGTCGGCTTGCTAGTGTATCAGATGACAAGAGCATTTCCCTGTATGATTATTCCTGATTTGCATATTGCGCACGATAAGGAGACGGTGTATTTGTACTTTTTGTGGAATGTTATCAACTTGTAGTGCTTTCTCTTTACAAAATGATTTGAAAAAAATGCATCCTTGTACATACTGTATGCGAGTTTTGATTCCGTATCCTTTGTTCATGATTTGTTCTTAGTCATTGCATTCAAGAATTTACCTTAAATTTTATCCGCCAGTTGCAAATTTTGGAAAAAAATGATGCAGTGGATATGACCTTTCATGACTTGGCCTAGTTTATCTCGAAATAGCATCAGCCCACAAGTCTGTTAGAAGATATTATATTGGGCAAGTCGCAATCGATTATTATACTTGCGTCTTAAACCGTTGACTACGAAGATGATGCCTGCAGATACAGGTTGAAGTGCGCAGCAGACTTAAGATTTGTTATTTGTTTTGCTATTAGTTACAAAGCCGAGTGGGAAAAGCGCCAAGTCTCCCGTGATTGTCAAATTGAGAACGCTGTATTTGCCCGTGATCACCCTGAGAGCGGAAGTGATTTATTTCAACATTTCTATACAGTTTGGTTTTGGAAATTATTTACAAACTTTATTTTAGATAATTTAATAAAATTTATATATTACCGAAAAGATTTTAAATTGAAGCAAAAGATATGTTTAAGATTTTTATATCAAAAGCAAGTTGGTAGCTAGACTAAATATGAAATTTTCAACCTACATTTTTAATTTTCAGTCAAATGTTACTCTTAAGGATGCAATCATGTTTGATTGTAAAACAAGATTTTTGCAAATCCAAACATACCAAGACAGTCTAGCAGCACGATATCTTCGGCCGAGAGTGGTTTTCAGCAGTAACAAAAGCTTCGAGGTTTATTTGATGTGATTACACTTGAAATAAAATAACACATTGAAAATCTCCTGTACAAATAACCAACAAGGGAATAACTGGTACTATACACGACAAGTCCATTCGGGTAGCATTTTCTTGATGTTTACTTGTCATAAACATCTAAGAAAATAGTTCACGAAGTTGCATTGTCGACAGTAAGGTAATGTAATGTGTTAGCAGCCCCAAGAGGGCGAGAATCCACAAGCAGGTTGTTCATATACCGTAAACAAATTTTACAAAACTGACGATCGTAGGTGAACAGAAAAAAAAAAAGAATTAAGCACAACTGGGTTACTTATATGGAAGTTGACCTATACTTGGGGAACTTGGTGTGCAAGAAATCCTTGAGCACATCCATGACAGAGCCAAAATCAGGCTTAACAGAAACAGGGGGATTGGCATAGCTACCCATTCCAGGAATAAGTCGAGAATGATAATCAATCTTACTCTGCGTAAACTTCAACCCATGCGCAGTACTAACCACCACAACCCTATCACTACCCTCAATAACACCTCTATTCCTAAGCTTTATGAGAGCCGTCAAAGCCACCCCAGTGTGAGGACATATAAACATCCCAGTAGAATCAGCCTGCACCATGGCATCCATAAGTTCCTCCTCCGTGGCTTCCTCCACTATCCCCTCCGAATTCTTGAGAGCATGCACCGCCCTATCAATCGAAACAGGGTCCCCAATCTGTATAGCAGAAGCAAACGTAGTCTTAGCCTTCACAGCCTCAAACTCCTTCCACCCATTCTTATAATACAAATACAAAGGGTTCGCATTCGCAGCCTGAGCACAAACCAACCTCGGAATCTTCTCCACAAGCCCCAAATCCTTGCACATCTTGAACCCTTTGTAAAACGCATAAATGTTCCCAAGGTTCCCACCCGGAACAATCACCCAATCCGGAACCTCCCAGTTGAACTGCTGCAGAATCTCAATCGCCGCAGTTTTCTGTCCCTCCAATCTCAAACTGTTCAACGAATTCGCCAAATAAATTGGCAATTCCGCTGTTATCTCTCTGATTAACTTCATGCACCCATCGAAATCCGTCCCGATGCTCAACACCAGAGCGCCGTTCGACACCGGCTGGATCAACTGCGCCGTCGAGATCTTGTTCGCGGGGAGAAACACAATGGAAGGAATCCCTGCGGCGGCACAGTAAGCGGAGAGCGCCGCGGAGGTGTCCCCGGTGGAGGCGCAACCAACTCCGACGACCGGCCGGTTCATTTTCCTCAACCGGTTCACTTGACTCACCAGAACCGTCATGCCGAGATCCTTGAAACTACCTGTGTGGCTGATTCCGCAGTGTTTGACCCACAAGTCGTTCATTCCTACGAACTGTTTGCCGAAACGTTCGGCCCAGAAGAGGTTGGAGTTTCCTTCGAAGGCGCTTACGATGTCGTCTGCGTCGATTTCCGGTAGCACCCACTCCTTCTTACTCCACACGCCGGAGCCGTAAGGCCAGGTGGTTTTCCCCACGCGCGAGTCGAAGAGCGCGCGCCAATACGCGCCGTCAAACCTTCTTAGGGCATCCATGTCGTGTTGTACGTCGAGCAGGCCGCCGGAGCGGCTGCGGTAGACGATTTCGTCGAGCGAGTATGACTCGGAGGAATGGAATCCGGCGTTGAAGGGGACGTACTTGGCGGTGAAGTTGTGGGCGGCGGAGCGGTTTCGACGCGCCTCGTCTTTGATGCTGTTGGGCGGATCCGGCTGCGGAGGCGAGTGATTGTTGGAGGTGTGAGAGGAGGGATCGAATGTGGAGGAGGTGCATGTTACTAAGGTGGAGGCGAAACGGTTATTCTTGTTAAGGGTGGAAGTTGAATGAATATGAATAGGGTTGATGCAAAAAGAGGGGTTCAACAAGGAAGACATCATTTTTGTTATTATAACAAGGATTGAGAAGAAGAAGAAGAAGAAGAAGAAGAAGAAGAAGAAGAAGAAGAAGAAGAAGAGAGGGAAAGTGAGTGCTTAAGTTAACTGAGAGTGGTGAAGGAAATGATGATGGATGAATGGTTATTGTTTGTTATTTATATTTATGGTTATCTTCCTAAGTGATTTCATGGATGTTAAATTGACTCCACTCACATCAGATCTATGGCTGGCTTCCTCGTTGATGAGCACGTGCAGGTAATATTCTCCAACGTTTAAAATGTGGTTATCATTCCCACTGTGTAATTGTAGTAAAATAATTAACATGTATCTAATTAATATACTCATTTATATAAATAATATATAATAAATAAAAGTTTAAAAATTTAATATATGTTTTTCATAATTAAGATTCAAATTTGTTAATTATTAACTTTTGTATAAAAATATGAAACTAATAATTCAAATCTCGGCAAATTAATTATAATTGAATTTTCAATTGAAAAAATAGTGTTGATTCACTTGTGATGATTTGGTGTTTTTTTTATAGTGATATATGTGCTTAGTGAATTAAATTATATTACAATAAATATTTGCTCTTATTAAATTAATGTACTCGAGTTAAATGCGGTAAGATTATGTAAATTTTTTACTAGAAATTGCTGAGTTGAGAAGCTGGCATGGGGAGGAAATGAATTATCAATGCATGGCTCTGATATGGATTCCTGCATGGTTGAATTTTCAACTGCATAAAATTCTAGTCTCTCACCATCAACATCAATAATTGCTTTTTTTATATGTTGAACGATTAAAAAAGCTAGTCTTTTGATTTAACCTGAAGTTTGGAGTACCCGTGCGACAAGAAGCGAAGCTCAAGGAAGAGCTAGGATTGCTCCTGTTAACATTTATAATATGTTTTGATTTTTCCTTAACCATCTTTAATTCCAACTCTTTAAAAATATAATTAAATATATATTTTTCAAATTTAATGGCATTTTAAATTAAAAAATTATATTATATTTATTATTCTCTTGAATAAAAAATAATAGTAAATAATTATTTTTATGTATGATTTAAAAAAATGTACAAGTAAGTATATGATTTAAATTTTATGCAGTCAGGTAAATTTTTAAAATATTTTTAAAAAATAATCAATTAATCATGCTTACATTTATAAATTGTGTTTAAAATATATATTTAATAATTTATTTTAATCCTATTTGGTATTAAATATGAATAAATTCATGCATAAATGATGTTTTGTCAAAGTAAAATATGTCATGTGAATGAATCAATTAGAGTATTTGAACGAGTGAATCAACCAGTGTGTTGAAAAATGTTAGTAGTAAAAAATCTTATACAATTTTTTTTACTAAAAAATCGAATGTTGCACATCTATCTTTTCAATGAACTCTAACACAATATTTTAATAAAAACATTGTCAAATATTTAACTCGGGAGTTTTAGTTAGCAACGTATTTTAAGAAAATAGCACAGTTAATCAACTTTAACCATATTACGAGTGATTAGAACAAATGTTTGTAACATTCAATTAACATCTATTGCAATAATATAAGAGTTTTTTTTTTTTTTTATACCCTTTAAGTGTAATTGTGTTTATATTGTCAAATAATCAAAATACACAATAGGTATAAATTTTAAATCAGCTGTCATAAATATTAAATATTATTAATAATGTGATAATTTATAAATGAACAGCAATGTAAACAAAATATTGTTATTACGTTTGAATTAAAATATAATTTAAATTTGTTAAATATTATAATAATTTTATAATTTGTATATACAAAATATTCACACGATGTATAAATTCTCACATACGTATTTTTCACCTTCACACACATATACACACAAGTATTTAAAATAGTACCTCTCACATGTATTACTATAAAATTATTTGCGTACATGTTAGAAAATTAATTTATCTAAATTGAGGAAATATTTAAATTGGAAAAAAAGTCCATCTATCACTAATTTAAAATCAATTATACTTATAAAATACTGTAATTCAAGTTTTAGAGAAACGAGTTCCATTTGTTACAAACTAATATATGTATTTGATGGCAACTGATCATAATATTCGTTTAAATTTTGTTTTTACCTTTCCTTGATTGCTTGAGCATAAAAAAGAGATTATTTGCAGTTTTTTTTTTATGGGCCAGATTGGTAGACCCTAACAAAACCAAATTAATGAATCAAAGAATTTCACTGATAACAGATAAAATCATGTTGAAAAATAAATTATTATTATTATTTATTGCCACGTTGCCTCGCGCCCGGGTTTTTCAATAAAATAAATAATAATAATTACTGTCTCCTTTTATCGAGTTGGATCATGTATGCATCAGACCAGAGACAATCCGGGCTTTTGAATCCCCTGTTTTTTTTTTTTTTTTTCTGGCTATGCTCTGCTTTTAGTTTCATGTTTTTTATTCTTGGTTTCAGATTTCTCTGATTCGTTGGAGCTGGGAAAAAGAAAGAACCCTAAAATTTTCTCCTCACATGTTTTTAAACTGAACTTGTCGCTTTAATGTTTTGTTTAAGAGAAGGTAAACCAAATTTGAAATATGATACAGTTGTAATTTTGATTGTGTAAGTCGTGATGCCTTTTAATATATATAGTAGGGAAGTGAAAATAACTCAATTTTATAATATTGTTTTCTTCGTTTTTTGTAATATTTAATATTGTCGCATTTGTTAAAACTTGAACGCATAATGATTAAAATATTATAAATGAATAATAAACAAACGAGTAATTATAGAACAAATAAAATTTTCCTTTAAGAATGTGTTCATGCTATCATTAAATGTCTCTAAAATACATATTTAGATATAAAAAAACAAAACAAAACACTGAAATAATTTTATACATAATGAAAAACCATAATGTGTTGTGTGTAATTTTCATCATTAAAATTGATTTTTCAGAACATCTATTTTTACAAGCAAACACATCCTAAGTTCTTAACTCGTGAGTGTTATGGAGTTGAATCCATCTGCAACTAGGAGAGTAGGGGTTCTGGTTAGAGTTGCAAACAAAATTACGAGTTTTGCGCATCAGGTTTCAGTTTGAACATGATTGCCACGTCACACATACTTCTAAACATCACTATGGACCATGATGTCTGATAAAAAGGCTTCTTTCCCTGTCCCAAGTAATTTGCTAATAAAATATTTTGGTGCCACCGAATTATGAGCGGACATCTCATTGCAATGTCTTAAAACCTCCCTTTTTTAATTTTCCCTGAAAAAAAGGGCTGTAAGTCTGTAACTATTAGAAAATTCTTTGCTTTGCATATTTTGAATCCCCGAATTCCTTTTTATTTTCTTAAATAGAATGCACAACCGTATTGATACCGTGTATTAAGATGCAACGTTTTTCTTAAAAGTTTCTTCTCTCATTATAAAACACTGTATATATTTACGTAACGGAACCAAAGTTTGGATGATTACCATTTAATTGCTACATTTGAATTATTTGCTAAAGCTTAATTTAAAATATGCGTATAAGAGTGAGTTATATATATCGTTGAATTAGGATGACACGTGCTTTAATTTTATTTTTAATTTAACGGATATAAAAATTATATATCTTATTGATGGCATGAGTTCATACTTCAACTATAATAAGTTTTCGAGTTTTTTTTTATAAATTTTTTTCCTCGTAATAAAATCACAAAAAAAAAATTATTATTATTGATCCTCTATAAGTCGAGGGTCGAGACACGAATAATAAGCACATTTTTATCATTTTAAACTTTGTATTTTTTTTTAACAGATAAATATCCTGAGTTTCACACTTTATTTTAATTAATCCTTGAACTGTTACTAATGGTGAACATAATGATTTATTATTATAATATTATGAATATAAGAACCAATTGAGACAAAATAGTAAATAAAAATTGCTATTTACATGTTTTTTCCTTTTGAAAAATCTCAATATATACTTTAAATGTCGACATGTTTAAAAAATATTTCTAAATATAAAATGAATATTTTTATTTGATGGAATGATAATGTAGATTTAAAAAATGCACAAGTATTTGATTGGGAATCTTCGCTGACAAGAATTTTGAATTTGAACTCCTAACCGTTTACATGGTAAATTCTACTGTAACTGAATACTATCATGGGATCCATGTTTTGAAAGAATAATACACATGACAAAAAGCTAGTTTTTTGCCAATATAAATCAAAATTACCATAACTAATTTTCAACGTATGCCATAGAAGTACAATTTAACAAGGAATTTAGATACTCCATTCAATTTCACAACAACGAAAAGGATCCATGGTAGTCTCTCGTAAATAGCAAAAAATGTATGTCGCAAGGGAAGGGAAAAAAATAAAATAATAATTTTGTCGTCCATTATTATTTATTATATTTTTCATAATGTGTGCAATATTGATTATAGAGCCAAAAAAAAAAAAAAAAAAAACCGGCGGTGTTGTGCACACCACGAAAAATGTCCAGCGCCAGCCAATGCCATCCCTTTTCTTCTCAGTGACCCCACCCCAACAAGAAACCTCATTTTTTTAAAATTAGTTTAAAAAATGAAAATAAAAATACAACGAAACTAGAGAGAGAGAGAGAGAGAGAGAGAGACGCAGCAACTCTCTCTACAGTCTCCATACAAAGAGAAAGAAAGAGAAACCAAAACTTGTTTTCCGTATATATTAAAAGTAAAATTAAATATTAAATATATAATGAATAATAATCGTGTACAGTACCTGTCCTCTTATTACCTCATTTCTTCAAAAAGGCTTTGAGAAGAGAGAGAAAGAGAGAGAAACCAGACTGAAGTCGCTCGATTCCTTTGTTTTCTTCTTCTTTATCGTTTTCTCCGGCTTCTAATTTTAACCTATTTTCTCTCAGAATTGTCGTTGAAACTTCAAAGCTACCGTTCTATACTGTCCGATCTGACTCACTGAGTTCTCTTTTCCTGTTCCACTCGGATGAGTTAGCCCGCGAGATCGCCCGCATTAATCGCCATGGTAATTTCCGATTAAACTCTCTCTATTCTCTTTCCATCGTTTCGTTGCTTCTCCTTTGACTCTTCGAGCTGCTCCGTTGAATCTATTGGACTTGGATTTTTTTTTTTATTTTGGAATTCTTCGGTGTGACGATGATGTGTTTGGCGGATGTTATTTCGTTTCTAGACTAGTTTTTTTTTTTTTTTTTTGGCGTTTGGATGGTTC